CTCCAGCCCCCCATGACCCTAGTGAGGATTAAGCGGTGTATAGATAATGGATGGATGGATGATTTCTCCATTTGAAAAGTTAAATTACCTGGTAGGAAATTCTTAAAACTACATGTACACCCCTTCCTCCATTGAACAATATGTAATTGGTGAAGTTGCAAATATTTTTCCATTTCAAAGCACTGTACTGCTGTCAGTTATAAGGAACATGGGGAAATTGAAGCATCTAACACGACCTGGTGGCTCATATTTCTTTTTAATGCTGGATGATGATCTTACTTTATGTCATTATTGAATGCCAATAAGTTAAAGGCTACTTTTAAAGACAGTTACGGTGGCAATGTAAGGTAGATGTGTGTTGTTTGCCAACTCAATATACCCTGTTTTCTGTAAAACTTCACTGTATGTATAGTCATTGATACAATTCTTCTTCTTCTTAGGAATAAGAATAATAATAAATCCCCTGAAAAGTATACAATTCTATTCTTTTTTACATCTCCCCAAACTACAACCTGTGTGTGTGTGTTTCATTCAGTGTCCCTCAGGTTGTGGCATGTTGATAAATATTGGGTGGATGGCAAGATTTGCCCTGTCTCCCTCTGCTCGGACAATTTTTAATGTAAGAGCTCATAAGTCCATTTCTTTTCAATAATTTGAAATAAAATTACAGAATTGAACTAAAATAAATACTCCTTTTCCAAACTGAGCTCAATGATTGTTCCAAGTCATATATACGTGAGGCCTTCAGGGTCCCTTCAGCTGACTCATGGGAAATGATGCTTCCTTCTGTACTGGCCCGTGCATTTCATAACCATTCTATGTGTACTTGACACAATGCAATCAACTGTGCTTATTACCAAGCGAATGTCACCATGTCTTAACCCAAGCATTAAGTAGCACTTAATGATATCTTCCTCAGTTTATCTGCTCTTGCCACACCTCATTTAAGCAGTTTTAGGTTATAACAATACAGCCTACTGCCTTATATTGTGAAATGTTTCAGTTATTAAAGTATATTACTGTTAAAAAAAGTTATGCGATACTTATTTGTCTTTTTCTAGTGTGACAGAAATTGGAATTTAGTGTTGTGAGCGTGTCTGTGGAAGAGCAGTTGTCCTCAGCAGCAGTCAACAGAACAGTGAAGTTCACACAGACAGATTAGTGGCCGTCCCTTCCTTCAGCTGGTATGTTGTCCAACAGGTTTGAACAGTTGTCAGTCTCAGGATCAACAACACAACACTGCGCCCCGGCAGTTACAACGCAACGCAGCACAAGGAAGTTCCATTTTAGATGATATTGGTTCTTCTTAAATCTGGAAATCTAGAAGAATAAGTGGCGTCTTTCGTCCAGAGAGCTTTTTTACAGATGGAGCGAACTGCAGCCACATGGGGCATCACTGTTGTTGTACGGGTGAGTTTTAAAACGTTCATCTTCTGCATGAGAAGGTCCTGCCCGGACGCGCTGGAATGATTTCCACAAAAGCTCTTCCTTGTCATTTTCTGTGTAGTTTTTTGCTTCACTGGCAGCCCTTTCAGCGGTGTGTACTCCACTGGTGTCCTTGCTGCACACAGCCCGCTGCTCGGTCCCCTACAGACCCGGCCGAGGTAAGCAGCTCTTCTTCCTACAGCGCGTCTTTACGCAGGCTGTCCAAAGCAAAAACCTGTCAGTAGCACGTGGAACATTGAGCATCTTGTATAGTCACAAGTGAGCCTCACATTTATGAGCTTTAATTATGATAAGAGAATATCACGATTGGAGAGTTTCATGAAAGAAACGCTGTCTCACCTATAGTGAAACTGAATGGGACGTTCACTGACAATGGGAAGGAAAATGGAAAACAGGAATATTGCATACAGTCAAAATCCAACACTTGTGTAGCTCTTAGCTTCCATCAGTTTCTGAAGAAAATCAACACATGTATATAAATAAAGAGGAGTCAAATTTAGGAGATGAAGTTGAGGAGCAGGACCACACCTCGAAAACTAATTTTCCTGTCATGTCTCTTTAAATGCTCACCTGTCCTGCGCACCTCTTTGTTCCAGTTTACATCCACAGAATGCCGTATGGGCCATCAAGTCTCTGCCATCTTTGTCCTTTGATATAAAGTTAAATAAAATCAAATGAACTCACCTCTGTTCAGTCGTCTCCACCATGGACCTCTGGCTCCTTAGCCCGGCTCGGCTTCGGCTGATCCACTTCATGCTGTTCAGGAAAACACGCAAACATCATCAGGATAGTGCCAGACAGGCTAGGTCAGATGACACTGAAGGCACCAAGGGACAGTCAGACAGCCAGACTCACCTTCATCCAGATCATCTAATCAGTTCTATCTGTTCCTCAAAATTCTTCTTCCATTCATCTGTGCGACTAATCCGATCTGTGTGGCCCCTTCCTGTCAAAGTTATTCTCAAGGTACTTTTAACACCTACACTACAGAAGTCATCTGCTCAAGCCTCCTGTTTAAACCAAGACATAAAAATGATAGTGTGGTTTTCTTGGTGAGATTAAGGACTAGTTAGAAATATATCTCACCACTGCAATTACAACTTGCCATAATTCTGCTGTAGATATCTAACACTGGAAACCCCGCATTTATCCCGAGATAAGCGCCATTGTCCATCCATCGTATCAACACCGCTGGTATAATGGTATATGGGTGTGTCAAACTTCCTCCCTAGTACACCGGACAGGTCGCAGTCCATTACTGACTAATCACACAAACAGACGTTCTTTGGACGCTGCTGCACGGTGGCTCGGGTGTATCTAATAGAAAGTCCCGTCTTGGTTAGGACAGTGGGATCTTCCTGCGTGGAATTTGCATGTTCCCCCCGTGCAGCGTGGGTTCGGTCTCTGGCTCCCTCCCACAGGATTCTAGTTTGTCCGTGGGCTTGGTTGTCTGTCTCTAAGTGCAGCCCTGTGATAGACTGGTGACCTGTCCAGGGTGTCCTCTGCCTTCGCCCTGAGTCAGCTGGGATAGACTCCAGCTCCCCTGCGACCCTAGTGAGGAACCAGTGGTGTACAGATAATGGATGGATGGATGGATGAAGGTCTGGATGCTGTTGGCGGAAAAAGCTCAGGATTGTTTGTATTGCTTTAACCAATCACAGTCGTCGTGGGCGGGGCTAAGCGAGCTTCAGCGTTCCCTCAAAATAGTGGCGAGTGGAGTAGTTGTGGTGGAATATTTACATTCAGGCAGGAGAACTGTGTTTAAAATGCATAACCTACCGCGGGAATCTAGCAGGACTGCCTTAGTGCATGATCCAAATCCTCGGAAGTTTTTTGTTTCAGCGGGCTAGGTAGCTCTTCGGCCGTTGTTGTGGTCGGTAACAGACTGAGAGCGGAAGGAAGGACGAAGCCACATGGCTCAAACCGCAACTTACATCTGGTGAGTCAGACTAGTTGTGAGGTGACAGTGCAAGCCACTACACCCAGAATATCATTGTGTTTATCTGAAATGTTCTTCAGACGAAAAAGAATTGAATTACGACTATTTGCAAATCCAGCCTCGTTATGAAATGTCTCGGCTATAGTTAAGCTGGAAGCTAAATATTAAGTCACGTGACACAGCTGTTGTCTTGTTCAGTCATGACCGATCTGGATTTCAGGTCCACCTACAAACGCACTCACTCAACACCTCCCACACTTAAGTTCTCATACTTGTTGAACCTGTCAATGAAACATTTCCCATAGAAGTGCTTTGCCTTCCTGTCTTCTGTCCCCTTGTTCCAGCAATTTCATGCTTTATCACCAGTACAGGATGCCAGTTTCACTATTCTGTTTCCCTCTTCAGCAGCCAGGTTCACTTTGAGCTGCATAACCAGTTCATGAGCCTGTAAGTTTACCTGATGGTATCAATTTTCTCCTGTATGTGTCAGTAGGCGACACATACAGCGACTGCAGGTAGGTTGCCAGTTGCACCTCGTTGTAATTGCTGCCTCACATTGCAGCTTCTGGCTCAAAGTTGCCAGATCCACAAGTTGCTTAAAGATGAACTGCACCTGTTCATATTCTCCCATTTGCTGAGCCCGTTCTTCAACTAAACACTGTCCAATAAGGCTCACACTGGGCGGCACAGTGGCCCGCAACAGTTCCACTCATTCAAAGCCCCGTGTTAGATCCTAATCAATATTAACAAACGCTATATCTGGTCCATCTCCTTGATGATTTTCTAGTTGTATGTCCTCCTTCGTCACATTCAGTTTATGATTTAACCACCATGAAGTAGTTTTTTTCTAAACTCAGTGCTCCCTTGTCACCTCACCTTCTCCAACTAGACTTCTGTGGTCTCCTACCATGACCAAGTCCCCACCGGGACAACTTTCAGGTGTCCCACCATTCTCAGCCAGTCACAAACTTTACCTAATAATCCTTACTGCCCCTTTTATTGGTGACAGACATGGTCAAAAGATCCATTGTGGTACATTATTGGTCCAAAGTACTCTCACCATCTTTTGTTGTAGTCATTACGTCCAGGTTTGTCTCTGATGCCCATCTGTCCCTCTTGATTTAAAATAATTACTACAGAGGTTTACCTCAGGGTGTCAGTGTCTTGGAGAATTATTCTCAGGTTCAACACAACACACTTTAAATTGTCTTTAGTTGTTAAAGATCTTTAGCCAATTAATCACCTCCGTCCACCTCTTACCGTCTCCCATTTTCCTCCGATCTCTGAATTTGATGCAGATCACCACATACTGTGTTCAGCCTTCACAGTTTCTCAAAAGACAGTCTGGTTTACGCACTTAAGCAAAGCAAAACAAACAGATGGCATTCCAATCCTTGTAATGTCTTTCAAATCAGACACACACCTAAGCTCCTATTACCTCCTAGCATATCACATACAAATAAAAAAAATCTCTAAATGCTTCTTCTGGCCCTCTGTTCACGAGTCCAGTGAAGTTGCTACTCGAGCTTTGTTCCTTTTGCACTTTAGCGTGTTCACTTACTGTGTGGGATCTAACCTATCTTATTGCATGGCCTCTCCTTCTGCATAGGAACAGCTTTGACAGCATCCAGCTGAACTATTACAGAACCCTGAGTAAAGCCTCGGATCATTGGTCTTGACAGGTTTACCAAATTTGCACCCTCTCCAACCCTTAACATCTGTGCAATGCTCAGTATTCTCTTTATTCTTCATGGGGCTTTTATGGTGTTTGCTTGCCCAGAAGCTGCTCTTGATCCCTAACAAAGGCTTCTCCACATCATTTACCTTACTTCTCATCAAAATCACACATACCAAATAAACAATCATGTGCTCCTCATTGATGGTGTGGTCCTTGCTTAAGATTTAGAAAGAAAAAAGTATTCAGTTATTTGTAATTAAAGGCTCAACATATAATCTTAATCATTCCGAAGCCATGTTCCACCTCATTGTATGGCTTTGCTCATATTACCGTGCATATTATTTTTCAAGCACAGCATTGCAGGTGAAATGTATCTCATTGTGAAAATTGAAGGATGTAATAATTTTACATTTTGCTCTCCCCTGTTGGCAAAAATACGCCGTATGTTTCATGTGTTATTTGGTTATTTATTCTTTTGACTAATAGGATGAAGTTACTTTAGGTTCCCTTTCACACATTCATTTTCTCTTCAGACTATTTTACAATGACATTTTTATTATTATTTTACTATAATCATCATTTAAATCACTGACTTGTATTCTTTCCTTTTTTCAAATTTTAGTAAATGTCTCACAAATTTTGAAATTGTAATTCGCTGAGGGCTATGAAGACGCTAGTTCGCCTGTTAATACCATCACACTTTACCTCTCTGCTTTGTGTAACAGGCCCAAGCCCACTAGTTACTTAAAAAGATGTAGTTTACTTCTTCAGCTGAAACAATTGTTGCATGAAAACCACGCTTTTTACAGGCTGCATTTCTTGGTAGTATTTTCACATCAGGTCATAGTGTGCGAGGGTTGTTGCTGAACTTCACTTTATTTTCTATGAGTAAAAATGCCATGCATCCTGCAGGGGACCCAGTGTTTGTTGAAGGGCCGCCAGCAGCATCCTTCCTGTCCCGCTCACTGCTCTATAATAGTTGGGACTTTGAGCTGGTTGTGCGTGACAATCTGGAGAGGGAGTGCTTGGAAGAGCAGTGCAGCTATGAGGAGGCCAGAGAGGTTTTCGAGGACGACGCTCAGACGGTAATGCTGGTGGTGGTGACTGTCACTTTACAGTGCTCTCATTTGGATACAGCATCCTCCCGTGTTTTTGAATTTACCTAAACAGAGAATCTCATTTCAACCCTTAATTTCGCGCCACCCTTGAGGTTGGGGTGGTGATAACATCACTCAGTTGTGAGAAGAGTGACAAGAATATTTTGCAATAATATTTTATGAAGAAACCAGCTTCAGAGTGGAGGAAACAATGACAATTCACAGTACCTTTTCCAACCATCACTTAAATGTAGTATTTAATTAACATACAAAGCATTTTGCTTCTTTGGGAATAATGGTCTTAAGGAGGATTATTTTACTAAAGCTACCTAACTAAATCTTCTTTTGCTCACATTTTTAGGATCTATTTTGGACCACATATATCAACAATCAAGGTAATACTTTAAAAGATGAATGTTTTTCACTCATGTGTTCTGTAGGTCTTTGTATTGGGCTCATTCATCAGAGTGTAGTGTTTTCACAGTAAACTATACGTGCATAAGAATACATGCATACATGCATTACAATCAGCATTATAATTTCCAAATTGTTAATATTTTGTTTATTATATCTAGTTGGTTAAAGGCGTACTCCTTACTTTGGTTATCCTGTTTACTACTCCAAATCCCCAACTGTTCTCCTGAGTGACTGTCAACAGAGGACATCTCATTCGTACCATGCTGCAAACAGAAAGATAGAAATTGCAGCAAGAATCGAGAATTTACGGTGAAGCAAATGTCGTATACTGTGTTGCATGGAGATGTGAAAAAAGTGGAATTTGCACATTTATTCTAATTCACTTATGGCAAAAGCAAATTAAGCACACAGAACACAGACATGACTGGAGTCATAGCTGTGGTGATTAGTGAGAGCTGTTGAAGAAACAGTGATTTGCTGTTAACGATGTTTGTCTTTGAAGAGAATGCACCCAGAGTGGATGTGTCGGGGCTGGTGGCTGGAATCTTGGCTGTGCTAGTGACCGCTGTTATTGCCACTGTGTTGGGAATCTACTGCTACAAAGCCAAGAACAAGGGTGGACAGAGGTCAGTTCACTAAGTTTAATCTGATGTGAAACGTGCTAGGAAACTTTTTTGAGCCAGCTAACCTAGGAATGTAGAACAAAATGGTGACTGTGGTCCATAATTCAGTTCATTTCAATTAAATTCAGTTTAATTCAATTCTATTTGTATTGCGCAATTCACAACATATGTCATCTCACAGCTCTTAACATAGTAAGGTGAAGACCTTACAAATTTTAAACAGAGAACCCAACGATGCAAAGTTGCCTTTGGACTCCCTCTGAGCAAACGGTCGGCAATGGTGGGAAGGAACGAATCCCCCCCCCATGAGAGAGGGGAAAAATCAAGTAATGGAATTTGATGACTTCAGTAAACCCCATGAACTTTAGTCTTAACGAAGTCTTAATTTCTCAGTGAGAAACTCTTTTGAAAACAAATTAACACATTTACATTAAATTTGCAGAACAAATTCATGTTCTTTAAGAATGAATATTAATGGTAGCCCCCGAAGGGACTGCTACATGTAAGAGAAGGTTAAATGCCTTACAGAGGTACCTGAAGGTTTGGTAGATTAATCTGAGTCCACACTGTTAGAAGGTAGTCGGTGAACAAGAAGAAAATGCAACTACAGCACCGTCCATAATGATTGGCACCCCTGGTTAAGATGTGTTCTTTAGCTTCTAGTAAATTCAGTTTTTGTCTAAACAATATAGGACCACAATGAAAAAAGAGGGAAATCCAACCTTTAATTCAAGTGCATTTATTCAGTGTGAAAAAAATCCCACATTAAAAAAAATAATTCTTTTACATCAAATCATGTGTGCCAAAATTATTAGCACCCTTGATGTTAATACTTTGTACAACCCCCTTTTGCCAACAGTTCATTTGAGTTGAGTTGAAGGTTACATTTTTCTACAATTTTCAGTGTGAAAGTTTGCTTCTGCAATAAAAATTGAATTTATTTTAAGGCTTTTAACACATCTTAACCAGGGGTGCCAATAATTATGGAGGGCGCCGAATGCTGTATGTAAGTGGGAAAGTCAGTGTTTCACAGCAAAGATGCTGTCTGATTCCCCGGTTAACACCTCTTATAACGTAACTTTACGCATGAGAGTGTATTTCTGCCTCTCTTTATTTTAGACAATTACCCTACTAGGATTCTAATGTTAATATATCGGCAGCCTATTCAAAATTCTGTATTCATCCAGCATGCATCCATTATCTATACAATCCTCACTGGGGTTGCAGGGGGCTGGAATCTATCCCAGCTGACTCAGGGTGAAGGCAGGGGACACCCGGGGCAGGTCACCAGTCTATCACAGGGCTACACTTAGAGACAAACACTCAGATTCACACCTACAGACACTTTAAAATCTCCAATTAGCCTCAACATGTTTTTGGACTATGAGGGGAAGCTGGCGAACCGCGGATCTTGCAGCTGCGAGGCGATGGTGCTAACCATTGAGCCACCTTGCAGCCCAGCATGCATCCAGTATACAATTTTTTATGTGCTTGGCCAACTGATCTTTTAACTATGCAGAGAAGACCTGGCTGCTAGTAAACAAAACAAACCAATTAACCATCATTTACAATTACAGTATATTAATGAAAACTCAGAGTAAATCTGATTCAAAGCACCTGCCATGTAACCAGGATGCTAGCAGCGTAACAATAGCCTACATTGCAAACACTGGTCTGGCACTACTCCCACTATTTCTGCTTCAGTTGGTCACATGACAATTGTTTTGCATGTTGTTATCTTTAGAATCATGAATCCTAATCTTTGATCTTCAGATATTTTCTGTTGCGCTGACATCTGGGGAAAATTTCTACTTGTACACAAAACAATCTGCAATAACAGGAAATTAAATATATATATGCCTTTGAATTTACAAACACATTCATGTTTTCATTACACTTGATTATGTATAGATGAACTGAACCGTTGTTGATTTCTTTATGTTGTGCTGCATGCTGGTCTAGAGCTCCAGTGAGAATGGCAGCAGATATGCATCCATTACCAGAAACGGTGCCGCTGGCTGGGATCGTTGCTCCAGGTCTGCCCAGCTACAACGAGGCTCTGACTCGCAGTGGGCAGCATGATGCCCCACCACCACCCTATTCCGGGTAAGTGGATGCTCCAGTATGCACATCCACTTTACATGGAGCCAGGCCAGTCTTTACTGTGGTCAATAATCTCACCAAAAACCTGTGAAAAGAAAGATACATGTGAGGACCAGGATAAAAAACACAAAGTTAGCTTTAGAACCAAACTAAAATAATAAACAGACTGATTGTTACCATGTAGCAACAAACTTTAGCCCAAATACACAGAAGCACTTGTATATTTAATATCTGACTGCTTCATTCTTCCACCACCATTTACCCACCATGTTACATCAACAAACACACAAGCAAACAAAATTCATTGTCATTCATCATCATTAGAAGCGACATATCAACATCAACATGTAGCACCAACTTGGTGAAAAACATTACTTAAACTTTCAAACAGCACTTAAGTTCATTAATCACATTTAATCCATAAGTGAAAAACTGAAACCTCTCCAGCTTCATTAAAGGAATCAGTCCACATTAGAGGATAACCACAAACCTTTTTTTTTTCCAAATTAACTTTGTTACAGATAGAGTATTTTCTCCCAAAATAACACAATAAAGAATTAATGTTGAATAAGCAATAGTCCCCTCCTGCTTTGAAAACAAACATTAGTTTGCAGTTATATGTTAGATTTGAATCTTTAGTCATTTTGCTTGGCTTTCAGGTTTGTTTTAAACCCAATTGGAATTTAAATAGAAAGTAACACTGCTGAACAGGGTCAGCTCAGCTGGCAAACCACCTGGATCAGGACACAGCCATGGAACCCACAACTCTTGTTCTTAGTTCAACAGGTTCTGGCTGGCTCTTGGTGAACATATGGATGGCAAAACAATTAAAACAGCTGACAAAGGTGTGGCATTGGTCAGCCACAATACCAACAGCAAGGAGAAGAAATGTTACACCGGTTAAGAAATGGTTAATTACATAGAAAAACAACATGATTCAATAACTTTTCTGACCATCTCTCATTGATAAATTTTTACTTCCTTTGCATTGCCCATCTCGTATATGGTATTGCAATGTCAGTTGTGGTGGATGTTTGTGACTCGATACCTTATTTGATGCTGCAGCTCGGATAGTTTCACTGCCATGTTCTGTATTCATCAATCCACGCCAGTAGCTGGTTTTGCAGTGTGCTGCAGCCCTCTCTTGGTGAAGCCTGAGCCCTTCTCTAGGAACAAAAATGGTTGGACCTTCATGGATCACACTACCATGCAGAATGTTCACAAAGACTCTTCCTCTCTTTGACCACAGGGGTGCGCCATCAGAGCCTGCTGATCCTGGAGAGGAATGAGGCGGCTGGCAGAGCCTCTGTATAATGCCTGATGGACTCTGGTGGTTTGAGTGAACTTTTAATTATTGCTTGTTTTTTAGTACATTCTATTTATGAGTGAAGTTAAAACACTGATCCTGGCTGGACACTGCTGACAGTATGATGTGCATATTGACTTGCCAGTAGTCTGTCCACTACAGACGTGAGGCTTTAAAGTGGGTGCAGCTGAGGGTGGGGTTCATTTTTGTGGTTGTACTGTACACCCAACTGTGCTGTGTACATTTGAGCAGAGTCAAATAAGACAATTCATAAAGGATATTGGTTGTTCAAAAAGTCGGGCACAATATATGAGCTGTAATAAATTACATTCCAATGTATGTATGCCTCGTGTCCTCTTCTAATTCCTTGTAACTTGTCAAGCTAGTAATACAAGTACAGTGTATTCACTTAGATTCAGGAGGATGTCAGCACATCATTCTTTACATGTTGCAACTCGTGTGTTTGCTGTTTATCATGGCAGTTCATTACAGGAGATACAACTGGCTGCAGAAGCTGAGCTCTTTCATCAGACTCATTTCTACAATCCTCCACCAGCTACAACACTACAACACACTGCTTTGCCGTGCATGACAAATTGTGTATACGTGTGTGTCCGTGTGGGTAAGAGAGAGAAAGAGAGAAGGGTGTTGGTGTGTGTGTGTGTGTGTGTGCGCGCGCGCGTTAGGTGGGGGGTGGAGGGGCGCCAGCCCAGTCATTCCTCTTAAAAATGGCGTCTTGTGAACAAAATGAGGGAAAATAGCTTTACTATGGTGTGAGCAGCAGCGACCAGCTGTCGGCGCTGGATCAATGTGAATATAGCTTCGCTTATTAAAGCTGCTAAAGAACGTTGAGCATCTGTTCTGCGGCCCATCAGCTTAGCACAGGAGACAATAGACAGTGAAATATATGGGGAGAGGAGGGAGGAGGTGCTCCTGGCTGCTGTGACTCCCCCCTCCTCCTCTCACTCCTTCTCCTCCCCATTCCTCCCAGTCTACAGACTCGTCAAGCAGAGAAATAAACAGAATCGAGCGCTGAGAAGACATTCCTCCCTCCCCTCCCCCTCACTATTTGTCCATCTTCATCCTGCCCTTTCTTTCATGGAGAGGAATTATCCCGCTGCAGGCTTCGGAGATCTAGGGGCTGGGACAGGATGGAGTTACGACAGATCGGCAAAAGCAAGGTAAGCTTCGGTGGCTAAAGCATGGGAACCCATATGCTCTTGTGGCTGCACCAATGAGCTTAACTGGCTGTAACAATGCCATGGCATAGCGCTGCCTGCGCCTCTGCATTCAGCCAGGCTGCATGGTGCTGCTCCATGGCCACCAGTCTCAGGTACAGCCAGCCGTATTGTCATTAGCGGGAGGGGAGGGGAGGGGTATGGGGGCTGTCTCTAACTAAAATGCATGGAATGCGATGGAAGGTTAATAGTGATATGGAGACGGAGGAGAGGGGAGAAACGAAGGGGGATGGGTTGCTGGAAACCGAGTCTGTTATTTAAAAATAAAAGAAAGATCATATCTCGGTTCCAGGACTGTATCGTCTCCGGTGCACCTCCTCTTGCTTAGACCAACAAATGCATGACAGGTCCTAGTCGCAGGGTGAACAGCAAGGTTGATTGCCTCAGTATTAATTGGCTGTAAGTCTACAAATCAAAGCAGTGGAACGCGCAGATCTGCAGCCCAGCAGAGGCAGCAAGCACAGGGAGACGAGCCGAGCGTCCACGAGGCACAAACAAGTGTGTGCAAATCAAATAATGTGCTAAATACGGAGTTATAGCTTTTATTAATTTGAAGTGTGTCCTCATTCAGAGACGACGGAACTAAAACTCTGCTAATCACGGTAACAGCAGCAAAATCTGTGCATAACGGCAGTCAGATGTGTGTGGTGCTAAATAAACTTGCTGGACTGTAACGTTAATGCAGACATTGTCCCTGATCAGTAAACATTACTTACGATAATACAATAATATCACGTGACTGCCAGTCGTGCCCGGACTGTCACCGAATTAAATGGCAGCTAATTAAAGTTAACATCTGTAGCGCAACGCTGACATTAGGTTCGTGTTTCAGCACCACTGTATTAACATTAGGTAGCTTTCAGCCTATTCAGGCTACATTTTAGCGATCTTGTACATTATCCAACATCTGACAGGGAATGCATCAGAAGCACGCAGCAGCAGCAGCAGCAGCAGCTGCCTCGTGTTCCATCACACTGGATCCTCAGGACGGCTGTCCTGCTGGACGCCACACCGCTGATCGGAGACAGCTTTTAAACACTAACACATGCAATAATCCGCCCCGTATCGTTGGCGCTACCGCTAAAAAGTAACAACACAGTGCTTGTCATTACACGGCCGTTTTGTCGGATGTCAGAATGAAGTGCGGCCTCGAGTCATGCTAAAGTTAACAAGCTCCGTTAGCTTTGCTCCACGTTAGCGGTCGCCTTGACAACCACATCAGTCTTTGGCCAGACTCAGTGGATTCCATCTCTGGAGCCTCAGCGCTCGGCTTGGAATCGTGCATTTCTGTACATTGATACGGTTGCTGAATTTATTGCTTTATTCAACAATCTAAAAAAAAAATGTTGCGCAAAAAACAACAAGAACGAAATCCTCAATAAGTGCATCAAATAAGTAGAGCTCGAAAATGAAGACAGACTCATAAATGCTATTTCTCCCATGCAAAATGCAGTTCTTTATAGTATGAACAAACAAAAAATGTTGAAAGTAAAGTTGTTACTTTTATTGTCCCCTTCTGCTGAGGTTGATGCTGAGATGCTGTAGTTAGAACAGACATGTCCTTGCTCTCAGCTGTACATGGCTGCCTCACCCAGCTCAGGCTGCACTCAACTACAGAATGCCTCTCAAATGGCTTTTCTCTGTTAGATTTGTTCCAGGTAATCTGTCACAGACCTCTGTCAGTTATTTGTTTGTCCCTTATTTATCCAGGAAATTTCATAAAATTAAAATCTCTTTTTGAGGGAGATCTGGCCAAGATTACACACTTTCATAAACCTACAAATGATGACACAATTGAGCACGACAACATTTAACAGGACAAGCCGATCAGAGCTTTGCACTCTTCCAGGGAGACCAAAAAATGCAGAGTCAGTACATACAGTAAGTAAGGTAGAGTGTAACACAGTGAGTTCCATTCATTTCTTTGTTTTTAAAAAATAAATCTGAATCTGAAAGCCGTATAATGAATGTGTAGGAGATAATATAAAGTGTACATTTACAGGAAATGTGCACAGGCAGAACATGCATGCTCCATAAAGTAAAGCTGGCAGGTTTGAACCAAGACATCTTCTTGTTGTAAAGCAACAGAGCGAGCCACTGCTCCGCCATGTCACTTCTGACATGAATGCCATAACATTTATAAATATGAATTCATTAGCGTAACTAAAGCAGAATGTCATTTTAGTCTTGCTTTTCTTGTAAAACAATAATTAAATGTGTTCTTTAGAATTTCTGATGCTTGCAGTGTACTTTCTGACACCTATGACAATCTATAACACATCAGCAGTTTGGAGCATCTATAACTAGATATCTACATATTCTTTTTGTGGCTGCTTTACATGCATTACTTTCTCAACGGTGACTATTTTTTATTTTTTTAGAACTCTTTAAATAGTCAGCACAGCAACAGTCTGTCTGGACTAAACTGTGTGTAATGTTTAATTGCAAAATGTGTAAACACAATATGCATTCACTGTCCACATCTCACATCATGCAACTGTGGTCCCTCTCAACCTCAACATGCACTGCTTTAAAAACTGTTCATATTATGTTCAATACCAAATATAATGTTAAATTCATTTATAGTCAATTTGCTACATGTGATAATTTATTTATTGAGAAACTATTTCGTTGAGCTATGCTAACAGCTGCCTCTGACAAGTAGAAATGACTATGAGCAACAAAGCTGCTTACCATCCAAGCTGAGGGCCTCCCAGAGGTCTGCCAAGATTCACAGTCATGGAGATCATAGTTTACCTAATTGCTAAAACTTTTTTTAAGAAATGCAAGCAAGTTCAGTTGCCTTTGTTTTAGTATTACGACCTTGCAGAGGTGTGTTTCAAGAGATGTCTTAAGGTCGGACATGGTCACAGACTGGCCAAAGTCAGAAGCGGTTGTATCATGTACCTAATACATTATTATGCAGCATGTGTATGTTTTGGATCACTGGAATTTCATGTGGTATATTATGGGATAAACAATACAGACAAATAATGCAGGATATTATAGTAATTCTGGTTGTGATGTGTGTTTCATAAAACACAATACCTTGTCCTTGTGTTATTATGTAATTTCCAGTATTCAGGTCATTGTGTTAGTATGTTGATATTGGGAGACAGATATCATCACAGCTATTGCTGAAACATGCATGAACTGCTTTGGTTTCCTAACTGCGTTCAGGATGTGAGATCGATGTGAGATTGATGAAGTTGACTGTGTGAAGAGTTTTGATGTAAACTCAGGATTGATAAATAATTTATAATAAGTGGACAAATAATGTACAAATCATATACTTGATTTATAGGAAATGGAGGGTAGTACAAAGTAAAATAGTGCACTTTCCTAATGCCATACAAATAAAACTGTTGTTCTTTTTATGTCCACCTGTCCCCCTACAAGAAAATCACCATCCAGAGACATGGAGCCAATATGGCTATCTATCACAGACTACATACACCTCAGTGTCAGCATTTTTTCTTAATATGAACATTTTTCTCTCAAGTGAAAAGTGAAAATATGACCACTGAGTTTATGTTACCATCTCAAAGAGCATAGTAATTTGGTATTTTAAATATTTACACTCAAAATTAGATTCCTGACACAAAATCAATTGTTCGTTACCCCCCCTTCAGTTCATCACACTGTAATGTACAGTGTGTCCGTCAGTAAACATCCCACAAGACCATACTTATGGCCACTACCTAGTCAATATGTTAATTCAATGAATCCAAAGTGCTCCTTCAAAAGGCCCTTGTTCCTGTTTCCTTCTAGACACCATATTTGATTTTTATAAAGCCCTTTTTCTGTGTATGTTCTCTGCTGTTTGGATCAATAGGGCTCCTCCTGTAGGTCAGAATGAAATGGGTGTACGCAGCAGTGGTCCGTGCACTCATGTATGCCTGCTACTGGTAGATTGTAGAACCTTGACAAACATGTCCTCTGATCATCGGGTGTAAATGGCATTGCAGGTATTTCTTTACAAGTCTGAGTATTGGCTGCTGTCTTTCTTTGATGTAGAGAAATTCAAAAAGTCACTTTTCTATTCTGAAAGTCGCTAAATTGTCCTTGCCATGTCCTTGTACCTTGTGCATTTCTGTCCTGCAACCAACCATGTCAGATTGGTTTACCTTTCAGGAAATTTGTGAAAAACTGAAAAGCTGATTAATAGCCATGCTCATCATGATGTTATACTTAAAACTGTTAGTCCTAAGTCCTTTATAACAGTATCTTACTGTGTTTTTCTTTTTTTTTTTTACATTGATAGTATATAAAGGTGGACGAACTCTATGTGGTGTCATTGACAGGTTTCCTGAAGAGCAGTTTTAAAGTTCAGTGTTGTGGCTTCGACTGTCATCTTGACAGTGCCTGCCTCTGCCTATTTATTGGCTAATTCAGAAAGGAGCAAAAAGGTGAAGCTGAGGCAGGCCACAGAATATCTGTGGGTCATGGACTGTCCTGTGACAGCAACCACCTGTCACTCAAATGGTCCTCATCCTTAATTAAGCGTAACTTTAAGCTTCAATACAATTTAAATGAGTAAGTTTTATAAACAGTCACCCACACGTGCAACTGTCATCAATGGGGAGACTGCCATGGAGACCAAAAACGTTTTTGTTCCAAGCTGTGAACATCTGGCTTCTGATGTAAAGTTGAACATTTTATCACGGGGATCTACAGAGACTGACCCACTTTTGGAACCAGCCTTAAGTGGACATACAAGGAACTGCAGATTTTGGAACGTAAGGGTTGGCTTGTTTTTCACCCCCAGATGTTGCTGCCTGGTGTTTTTCCATTGTTGTACAGGATTGGATGAAATGAAATGAAAAAAATACTTTATTTATCCCAGAAGGGAAATTCAGTAAAATTCAATAAAACACAAAGGAGAAGATAGGGTGTCTGTTCAGTGTGTGTTTGCTGGGAATTTTTTTTTTAATGTGCATACACAACCCTGGCAAACAAACAACGTGGCTCAAGCTCATGCACATAACACTATTCCAGCTTATCCTATGCACATTCATGCTCGTGCATGAAGGGGGCAGTGGAGTGAGAGGGATGGAAAGTTTGGCACATGTAACTATGCTAGTTAGATAAATGTCAACAATCTTGCTCCAGAATCTCAGACTCCACCTTTAATAGGTAATAATAGAAAATGCACTCACAAGTAAAAAAAGAACAAAGGAAGCCCCAGAAATCTTTTAATTAAACAAAATATGACAAAGAAAATCTATCGAGCGCAAATATCTTCAAAATTAATTATATAATCGTGTTGTAAATATCTAACAATGCACATAATTTTGCCCCTTTTTTTTGGTTTTAAAAATGTTCTGAGAAATTTGTAATTAAGTTTCACAGTAGTTTTTTTTTTAGTTCCCAGACTGTTGTGCTTAAAGGTAGGATAATGTTCTCTTAAATCTAAAAATATTTAGTGATAGTATTGCTGGACCATCCATCTGTCTCATTCTCATGAACACGATATCGCACAAAGGCCTTGAAGGAAGTTTTTGACTCAAGGATGAAGTAATTAGATAGCGCTGACTGTGACCTCGCAAAATGCGTTTTTGGCCGTAACTCAGGATCTATTGTGTTAATAGTGACAGACTTCACACAAATGTCTATTGATAGAATCTTATATCCATAAGAATGTGGTAAACTTCTTTATTACATTGGAACATTCTGCAAGACTTTTCTGGCCGTCATTCAACGCCATAACTCAGAAAGTGATGTTTTTGTGATAACCTCTGTCCTGTTTGTTTTAAAGCACTTTGGCACAAACTTTTTTTTTATGGTGCTCTTTGAATAAATCTGAAATTGACCAACTTGTAGATGGTCAATTCAGCCATCAATACCCCCTCCCTTGAACATATCACATTGCGGCAACATTTTGTTCTGCCATTTTAACCCTGAAAACACTTCATGACTGTCGGTTTGGGAATATTCTTCCTTTGTTATGTTCCCATGTATTATAATCTGAGTCTGAATGTTGCAGTTAAAATACTGCTTCTTGATTAGCTTTTAACTTTTATCAGTGTTATCTGAAATAATAATTTTTGTAGATCTCATGCAGAGGATTGTTACTGATGGCTGTGGAAGTTAAGTTTTGGTGTGTGTACCTGGTGATGCAAGGATAAATACAGTCGTGACTCGATAATCCGACTGAATTCCGACTCCGACATGACATTTTATGTCACAAAGGATTATGGAGTATTATCTGACTAAACAATTCAACAGATTGGCTACATTCAGACTGCAGGACTTAATGCTCAATTCCAATTTTTTTTTTAAATCCAATTTTTTTTGCGAGTTTGTCCACATTTCCAATTAAATGCGACTTGTATGTGATCTCCTGAGTGATACGTCATACGACCCAAAAGTGCCCCGCATGCGCAGAAGAGGACACAACGATGTCACACGCAGCGAGCGTGCTCGGTGTTTACGGAAGCAAACACGGATAGTGGTGGCGGCAGGAAGTGGTGCTGCCGCCGCCATCGATGGGGGAAACAGAACTGGAACCGCTATCCCAAACTAGCATCAGCTGTGTGTTCTGGCCAGTTCCACCCCGTCGGAACGCACCCCCGGGGTGGAAGTGCCCCTGCCCCCCGACCGCGACGAATATTCGGATATTCATCATTCTTGGGCCTGAATATCCAGAGACCAGAAAGTGCTATTCGGACCAGCCCTACTGGTTATTATAACAACTATGAACAATAACTAACAACATATTGCCCTTCAACCATCAAGCCCTCGTTGTATCGTGACCTCTGTCTTGACAATCCAAGGTTTTACATTTAGTGTCGGATTATTGAGTCACAACTGTAGTTCTAGTCAGAGAGGTGGCACACAAGAACGAAACAGTGAGATTGGAGTACTGCTTTTACTGCTAAACTAATCTGATTTGTCCAGGTTAGGACAGCAGACTATTGTTTTAAACAGGGGTGTCAATGCAAATAAACCTTGTAACCATGTGCTCCTCAGCCTCATGTATGGGAGTACCAGGTCATCCCACCCAGAGTCAGAACTGCTTCACCGGCAAGCCTATGCCACCTCCCACCCCCTCCAAGGCTATGCAACCAACCACCACCCAGGAAGCTCAAGACAGGGCGGAGCCTGGGGTGCTGCTGGACGCACACTTGGTAAGGACTGAACTGGTATATTTGTAAAAACACAAATCTACAAATATTGTATTTATTTCTTTGTATATTGTCGTCTGTATTTAACTATGCAGTGAAGCTATGTAGGCCACCGTACCGTTTCTCCCTTTTTTTTTTACATAATCATTGTCATCATCATCTTCTTCTTCCTCTTTCTTCTTCTGCTATTGAGCTCTATGGGCACATGTAGAACTGTAGGGTAGAAAGTTTTGAATCTGGCATACTGATTAAGAGCAATCTCCTGAGTTTCAAGTTTTTTTCTTCTTATCAAGTTCCATGCCTTTACATTGAGCACTCTATCATCCATCAGTGGGTTGATTGGGCTGGAAATGTGTTTATGTACATAACTTAAAAACCATTTGCCAGTTTTTAAAAAATGAGATACCGTTGGATTCTTTGGATCAAGCCAGGCACAAAACACCCTATGATGGTCATTTCTGCCAAATAGGATTTTCTGCCACATTGGATTTTATGAAAAAGTTTAAACAAATTTTCACAGATCACAAAATTTCATATAGCATCAGTGCTTTAATATATGTAACCAAAGGTTCGTGGACTTAAGACCCCATCTTGAGGAAGCACAAAATTTTGGCCTTATGTCGTACTACTAGTAGTGCTGTCAGCGGTCCTAAAGATAAGACATGAAAACTTTGCTGATGAGATCACCATATTGGAATTTATTTCAAGGTTTCTGGATTTTCTGCCCATTGGCTTCTATGAAAAAGTTTTCTAAAATAAATCATAGACCACAAATTTGTTCTAGTCTCCGCTAAAATTGCCATTGATGATTGTCTGACTAATCTGACAAAAGTTTTAAATCCTACATTTCTTGTACTCTTTCTACCCATAGTCTCAGTGTGATATTTAGATTTTTTGAAGTCTTCCAACAGACTGCACAGCTTACGACACTAAATTACCTCATAATTACAGCCCACGATTTACAGTCTAATTTTGCTGGATACATCAGATACTAAAAAGGCACTAGTGGCACTTGAATTTAGGAGGCAGTTCAGGAAAGGTTCCAAGCCGAGCCAAAGCTATCAAATCTTTATAGTAATGAAAAGTTTCCAAACACACATGCAATGTCCAGAGGGCTGTATCACGGAGCAAGTTTGACATAGCCAGAGTTTCTTTGTGGAAGTCGACTCAACAAAAACGAAAGCCTCAGTCAGAGATCACAGGTATCACAAAGGTGGTTATCAACTTTCTTTGTCAACTCAGACTTTCTGCTTCAAACTTTGTTCGCGTTCACATAAAAGGAGGCGTTTAACATGTGATTCTTCTTCTGACAACATAAAATGATTGTGTGCAGCTGCTTCAGTCAACGCGTTGTTTTATTGGAGAACAATTAGAAATATAAAAATGTATGATGGCAAAAAGCACTGCTGCTGCGAATGATGGAGACAGGAATGCTGGTAGAAAATTGTTAAACATGTGTAATATATTAATTTTACTGATCAATGCAGCCTTTTATCTCTGACAGCTGCACATTAAAGCTGTTCAACTTTAAACTTGAATATATTTAAACATGATATTGCATTTAGGGGGCTGCAAGGTGGCGCAGTTGGTTAGCACTGCTGCCTCGCGGCAAGAAGGTCGCCGGTTCGCATGCCCCCACCGGAATCTTTCTGCGTGGAGTTTGCATGTTCTCCCCGTGCAGCGTGGGTTCTCTCCGGGTTCTCCGGCTTCCTCCCACACAGTCCAAAAACAGGTTGAGGTTAATTGGTGATTCTAAATTGTCCGTAGGTGTGAATGTGAGTGTGCTTGGTTGTCTGTCTCTAAGTGTAGCCCTGTGATAGACTGGTGACCTGTCCAGGGTGTCCCCTGCCTTCGCCCTAAGTCAGCTGGGATAGACTCCAGCCCCCCCGCGACCCTCGTGAGGATTAAGTGGTGTATTGATAATGGATGGCTGGATGGATGGATTGCATTTAGGTCTGACACTGTCCCATAATGCAGGATATCACTTTTGGCCAAATCAAAGTGAAATTAATGTTACTGGTTGAATGTTCTCTGTAATAAATTTCAGTAGAATAATCCATTTTCTAATCTGTGTTTTATCAGCTGCAGTGGAAATGGACCAAACATAAAAACACATTTATGTGATTTCTACATCAGCAACTAAATACATGTCTGGTTCCCATGACAACGAGATGCATACAGTGTGTGATACTGTAAGTGCACGGCTTCCCTTCTCAGCAGAGAATCTGTATCGCTCGTTAAGAATCGTCAGGAAACGATTTGTTCGGGAGATGCTTCTTCCAGCCGATTTAAATCTGAAACTCTGAACATAACCTGCTCCCAACCAGGTTAGCTCCACAACGTCAGTTACCATGGAGATGTAGCAGGTTAAAAGAGAGACACCTTCGTGACACTGAAAACTCTGACTTCAGGCACAACATACCTCGCTAACCCACTAATCTCGCTTCCTAGTACAGCCCTCCGGCACACTTAATGAAGACCTGATATCAACAGAGGCATGCCAAACTTGGACTTGTTACACAAAGGTGAGAAGTTTGGCTAAGGAGGATAATTAAAGTAGATGAAAATCTATGGTGTGATGTGAAGCTACAGAGTATGTAGTGGTAAACTGCCCAAAAATATTGCTAACTGCATGTTTAATTATTCAATGTCCATTTTAACACTGATTCAGATTGTTGTGATTGTATGATCTGCTGTAATGGCTAATTTGCAGTTACTTTTTTTTGTCTGTTTCACACCTTTTGTCAGGTCAGATACATTTTTATTGTAACAACAATAGGTCCAATTTTAACAACAGGAAATACAAATACAAAACTGTATTTAACTTTGCAAACATGCTGTAATATGACACTCTAACAAAGACTTAATTTCTAGTTCTGTTTCTCATCAATGACACTTTAGTTTCCATTATGCCAATAATAATATCCACAACAAATATATTTAATTAGCTCTTGCAAAATAAGGTATTTGAGCTATTTGATTTGACCTTTAATTTTTTAATGCTACCAAGACAAGACAAGATATGTCAGATTTTCAGATGTTCTTGTTGATGCCTTCAAACTTTTCTTCTTGATAACATTCACTTCCATTACATTTTTAAGTCATCCATATATAACAACATTATTTGTTTGATATATTGATAAACAATATGCAAGTTGTTTCCAGATACACTTTGCATTTTTTCTGATTAACAGCTTGTTACAATGAAATATAAATGGAGAGTTGGGGGATTGTTCACTTTTGCTCTTGCAGACATGCATTCATTTTCGTTAATCTGATGGCATTTTAAGGTGTTGGCTTTATGTCTGAATGAGCACCTTGGTCTGACCGAATAACATTTCTGTATAAATTTCAACATGACACAAGTCTGAACTGCATGCAGTCACATTAATTGATAGGCATGCACAAATGGCGTACTTTAAGTTGTGTTAAGTGATTTAAAGAAAGAGGTCTCTACATTTCAGCACAAAGACTGGTTCAAAAACATCACAGACAGTAAAAGACACTGCTGTGTGCCAAGATTTAAAAAAAAAAAACAACACTTTTGTTGCTCACTTTGGGATACAATGTCACATCTATTGCAAACTCAAATGCCAATAATATAAAAAGATATATAAGTAACTTTTCTGCAGTTAAGACAGAGCAGGTCTAATTAAATAGACTCACCAATTATAAATATTATCTAGGCTTTGACAAAACATTAACAGGACCTGGAGTATAGTTTGTTGCTTTCGGCTGTTTGTCGGAGTCTTTACTACAAATTTATTAAATGCCTGCAGCATCAGACAGCAGTTCAATTCAGATGAGTGTCTTCAAAGAGAGAGAGCTACATACAATAATGCACTGACCAACAGCAGTAACTTCATTACTTTTAAATAACCCCCGACATAGAGACAGGATCAGTCTGGGTCAGGATCTAATGGCAAGTCACTCGCTGTACTTTTTTTCACATCACTGTCCTTAGGAGTCCTGAGCTCCATCCTGTCAGGATATTTTTTATTTCACTGTTGGTAAAGTAGTAGTTGCCATCACTAATGGACAGTATTTTCTGTATTAAGGAAATCATAAATACGATAGGTTGTTAGCTATTTGAACAGTTTGATATGCGACTATCAGTTTAGATGTAGTGTTTCGTTTGTCACTTCATTTTGACACTTAAGGTACTGTTCAGTTTTACATGCATGACCAATCTTACGGAAATACTGTGGCTGTCTCTGTGACTATAGACATAACTTGGCCATAGCAGCAAGCTATGTCTATTTGAAGCTGTGAGGAAGAAAATTAGCATAAAAGCGACCTATGTCTGAATGACACAATGCTGTCACTTAGACAACAAAGGAGCAATGATGCATATCCCATGTCTGTACAGGGCTTTACTTATCTCTCACTGAGTTTTATCTTTCATTCATCTGATCAAAAAATATTATTGTCTGGATGCTGCAGAGCGGCAGGAAGTAAATACATAAAACCACAAATTTATAGCTAAAACAGGATGGCATGTCATCTAGATAATGGTGCTTGGTTTTATTTTGCAACTTAGCCATCTCCACAGTAGATGCTACCAATAGTTCTGACTCTGTTATATGCCACAACATTAGTTGTACAGTAAAGACAGAAGTTAAAGTTTGAAGGAAATAAGTTTTACAAAACTGTTCATATGATGATTACATGATCTACACCATACTATGTATGAATTAAAATTGATTGAGGGTTGGGTTTGTTGCCAGGCCTGTCAGGGCTGATTGATGCCAGCCTCCACCATGCCAGCCCCTCAGGTCCCGACCCCTCAGTCATGAATCTGATTTCAGCTCTGGAGTCCCGGGGTCCACAGCCCTCACCCTCTGCTTCCTCCCTCCTGTCTCAGTTTCGCACTCCCTCTTGGCAGACTGGTGAGTGTCAGTCTGTTACGGGAATGTGACACTTGTAAGAAAAAACAAACAAAAAAGTTAATTTTGAATTGCTATTATTTCTTAGTACATAATTTAAATTCCAAAATGACTTGCATGAGATTCATGAGTAAAAAGTAAAACATTTGTTAAATTGTAATAGTGACTTGCATTGACCAACTTTGTCTATGTAATGTTGTGTCCTGTAGCAATGCATACATCGGCCCCAGCGGAGCTCTTTATTTCAGGGGCACTTCCAGGTTCCAGCTCCTTCCCCTCCTCCTCAGCCCTTACTGCATACCAGCATCCTGGCTCATTTTCTGGACGATCTTTCACTCCCTCACTATCCCTGCAGGATGCGCCCACATTTAGCCCGACTTCTAATGGCTTGCTATCTCCACATGATTCCCTGCTGCACATCAAAACACCCTCTCAATCCAGTTTGGGCTTCGATCGCTTGCTGTCTTCTCAGAGTGCCACCTACCGGGGCTCCCAGGAGCCCTCTGCCCCTCTTCAATCCCAGGCCCCTTCCACATCCTCCAGTTGCCACCTGCCTCCTCCCCAGTTCAACCTGTTGTCCTCTCAGCTTCACAACCAGTCCCCTCAGCTGTATAATGCCTCTATGTTCTCTCCCACGCCAGCCCTACAGCCTGTGGCACCCCCCCAGCCTCCTCCAGAGAGGTCAGTTTCTCGGCAGGACAGTGTGATCAAGCATTACCAACGTTCATCTCCAGCCGAGTCCACAACCCTACAGCAATATGCCAGCTGTGGTGGGTCATCTGGCTACCAGCAGAGAGTCAGCCACCATCGGCGTGCTGGAGTGTCCTGTAGTCCCTTGGAGGAACAGAGCCAATCCTCTGACCCCAAGCCCTCACCAAGAGTGGAGTCCCACACATACCAACCTATCATTCAAACGCCCTACACGTCCTCTTCCTCCACCTCATCAGCTTCTTCTTCATCTGCCACTAAGGGAGCCAAGAGTTCCAGCTCCAGTAGTGGGTATTCCTCTTCAGGCTCAGCGTCATCTTCATCCCGGGAACCACACACTACACCATCAGCCTCTTCCACCACCTCTTCAACCTCTTCTAGCTCCAAAACAAGCACGAGCTCCTTGTCCGCTCCCTCTCGTCAGCAGCCCCCACCACAGTCAGCTCCGGCACCACCTACTCTACCAGTCGTGTCATCCACCCTTGTTCAACAGCCAGCAGCCAAACAATGCCTATCCACCTATGGCTCTCAATCTGTGGCCAAATCTAGCACAGGCCTACCAGACCAGACCCCTCCCAGGCAACACACCCAATCCTACTCTCCCAACCAACCGCCATCAACACAAATGGCCCAGCCTTACGGTGGTTTTAGCTCACCTCATGCCCAGGACTTAAACTCTGGAGCAGGGGGCGCTGGGAGTAAAGTTTTCACTGGTATAGGTGCAGAAGGGCGCTCTTTCTCTGCAGAGGTAGTCTTTGAGGGCTCAGGTTTTGGCCCAGCTTCTCTCAGAAGAGCAGGAAGTCCTTCCATAGGCTATGGGAGTGGATCAACAGGGAGTGGATCTGTGTCAGGATTGACTGCACTTGGCAGTGGAGTTGGATCTGCAGGGTCAGGCAGCGGGGCAACTGGTGTTGGTAATGGAGCTAGCAGCTCCTACCACCTGCCTGAGTCTAGCATGTCACCCTCTGTCAATTCTACTATTAGTCGCCCTGGATTGCATTCTCCTGCTGCTGCTCGTCCTGCACAATCCCCTGGAGGCTCAGGGGCCACAAAATACTTGTCCTCTATTCTGTCACCTGCTTTTATGTCCTCACCACAAGGTTTCCCTGAAACACAACAAGCTCACAGCCAATCCTACCACTCAACACCACCCAAGCCAAAAACAGAGACAAACATCCTGGGAGTTGAGCGATCCCAAGGTGAAGAAGAGGATGATGATGATTTCCTAATCCACCACTTACTACATGCCCAAAGCTCAACTCCACATCCTTCCCAGCATCACCCACATCCTCAGCAGCTACCCCAGCCTCTCTCACAAACAAGGGATGGAGAAGGAAAGGGGGTGACCTATGACGTTAACAAAATCTCAGAGGAGCGGTACCACCTTCAGAGTGTCATTCGTACAAATAACACCACCAGCAGTTCAGGTCCTGGAACAAATATTAGTGACAATGGAAGTGGCTTAAACAGACAACTAGAAATATCACAGAAGAAACAGCAGAGCAAGTCAGAGCTGACCATATCAAAGTCCACTTCTGGAGGGGTACAAGGGGTCTCTGATTCTCTTTCCCACTCCCATACTACCCACTCACATCAACAACAGCCTGAGTCCCTGGGCTCTGTGGTCAGTTATGGAAGAGGGGACCCGTACACACAACACCCACACTCCCAACATCCCCATCATACCTCACATGTGTCCTCACACTCTCAGCACACACAGCAATCCCAAATTTCCCAACACTCCCGGCAAACTCAACATGCACAGCACGCTCAACATTCTCAGCATAGTCATCCAAGTTCCCACTCACACGGCCACTCTCACATGGAGTTAAAGAAACCTTCAGATGCAAATGACAATGCCTACTTGTGTAGCACCCCAGATGTGCAACAGGCTAGACAAAGCCAGGTCCCTCTCTCTCTGATGAATTCATCACCAGACCCTCCCCAGCAAACTCACATGCTGCCATCTGTCCTTTCTCATACCACCCACAGCAAAATGGACCACCAGCAAGCCCCTCCACAGCAACAGCACTCTCTAAGCCAGCAGGCTATGATGACTTCAGCTGGCGGAGCAGGGCCTACTGAGGTAAAGACCCACACACAGAACCAGTCTTCGCACTTGCAACTCCAGCTCCAGACTCACTACAGTCTTGGAGCTCAGCCAAGAGATCAAGCCAGTCAGAATTCAATGTCTCCACTAGACATGCTGGATCAATCTCTGACTCGGGCCAACAGCAGGGACAGCGGACCTCTAGACAGAACTGGAGTTGGGGTGACTGTTACAGGAGGAGAGGGAGGTGCTGGAGACAGGCATAGACAGCAGCACAGACTGACACCACACCACCATCCCCAACAAACAGCCGCAGATCTCCATGATTTTCTTGCTGAGCCAGATTTGGGCTTATCCTCCCCTTCACACCTGCATCACCTCAACCAGCCTCAGGCCCATGCCCACCCCCATGCCCTCCACCAACAGCAAGCACACACTCACCATCATCTGCCACATGGTCAGTTATCCCACCCACACTCCCACCAGATGGCAGCAAATATGAGGACTCCCCAACAACAGCAGCAACCTCGGCCAAGAGAGCCTGTCACAACTGTGAGTGTGACACAACTGTCACACTCACAGTTAGACCAGCTCAAACAGCACCAGTTTGACACAGTGAGCCCAGCCGATAAAGTAGGACAGAATCATCCTCAGCATCAACAACGGTTTGCACCTCTAACATCCATGTGCTTTCCAGAGTCTCTCTTACATGATGAAGACCGCTCTTTCTTTCCTGACATGGAGGACATGTTTTGTTCAGCTGATTACAAGTCAAGCTGTGCTGGGGATTCTGGGACAGGACAGGCTGCTCAAGAAAGCCTCAGCCAGGGCCATGGGCAGGCGCAAGATGGTATGGAGTCTTTAAAAACAGGAGATGTTGGAGAGGGCTATGACATGGTTGGTCATCACAGTGATCAAGGCTATGGACAGTACTGCCGTAGCCTTCCAGGGACAGGAAATGGCAATCTGCACTTAGACCTTGACTCTCTGAAGACCCATGAGCTTCCCTCCACTGTGAACACTGACCAGCTTGGCCTCATCCAGTCCCAACCTAGCACTTTGGGATTGAGTTCAGCACCTCAAGTGGATGGCTCAGTCAACAAGATGATGGGAGCTGTGGGAATCGGTGGAAATTCCAATACTACTGGTCTGACTTCACCTATCTTCTGTTCTTCTCGACCCAAGAAACTGCTGAAGACCAGTTCATTTCATTTGCTCAAACAGCGGCGTGAGCCACAACCTCAAACAAAGAAAAACTATGCGCAGGAGTATGAATTTGAGGATGATGAAGATAAAGCTGATGTTCCAGCAGATATTCGTCTCAACAATCGACGCCTTCCTGATCTGTTGCCTGACTTGGTGTCTAGTTGTAGGAAGGCAGCTGGGGCATCAGGGATAAGTGGGCTCAGTCCACTGATGGGTGACATGGACTTCTGCCAACCCTCTACCTACACTTCTCTTGGACACCCTCCGCAGCTCCTCCCACATGATGGCCCTAAGAAAAGAGGCAGGAAACCAACTAAACCAAAACGTGAAGGTCCTCCTCGCCCACGAGGCAGACCACGCATACGTCCTCTTCCAGAGCCTCCATACTGCAGGGGGTTGATGGGATCAGTGCCTGGAGAAAATAGGAGGGGGCGTGGGCGGGGTAGAGGACGAGGCAGAAAGGAGGAAGGGCTGGTGGAAACACATGGTGATATTAACAAAGCACAAAGCCTTCCATATCATCATCAGCAACAGTACAGTCAACAGCAGCATCTCCAACAGCATCCACAACAACATCACAGCCAGCAGGCAGACTTTCATCACGCACCACACCAGCAGCAACAACAGCATCAACTGCATCATCATCAGCAGCAGCATGTTTCCTGTTCTCACCACCAACTGCATCATCAACAACATCATCAGCAACAACAACAACAACCATCTCAGCAGGAGCAGCAAGATCCAGTCAGGCCGATTAAGGTAATAGTGGAAAAAAAGAGTTCTTGAGTTAATCTCAGTTGGGTAAAATACACAAAGCTTGGAGTAGGGCTGGTCTGAATAGCATTTTCTGTTCTCTGGGTGTTTGGCCCAATTTATAAAGATAAAGATAAACTTTATTGATCCCACAATGACGAATATTTGAATAGTTGGGAGGGGGTGGTGGTGCGCATTTGGCTACTGAGACCAGTTTAGGTGTTTAGGTGTTTAGGTTAGCGTTTACAGTACCGTGGGTCCAGGGGGGCGGGATATATATATATATCTATGTATGTATGTATGTATATGTGTGTATGTGTGTGTGTGTGTGTGTGTTTATCTGGTGAACTTGATTTTTAATTTTTGAATTGTTACTGTGTTAAGTGTTAGATTTGATATCTTATCCCCTGGATAAAACCAAAAAATATTTAATTGTAAATTTTATTAATCCTTGTAGGTGTTTGGTGGCTCACTAATTAAGTTTAAAATGATTCATTCTTTATTTTTTTTTGGCCAATGTTTCAGGATGCTAAATGAATCACTAAAATGAATTCACCAATCAGTTCAGTGATAAAGGCAGCATTTGATAAATTTGATGTTCAGGAAGATTGTTCTTAATACATAATAGTGAGATAAAATAAACAGCAGATAAGAAGATGTTGCATTGCTTGCAGTGAATTACACTAATACAGGGAAACAGCAATCATTAGTTTAACAAATACTAAGATAATTTGCTAAGTTCCAATTCCATCCAACTTGTCTGTCTCTCAGATCAAACTGCCCGTTTCCACCATGCCTCCATCGGAGTCCTTGTTGAGGACAGACTCACTGTCTAGCAGTGAGCCGATTCTGTCTGATGGATCAGTGGGTTCAGCACCATCTCTGGGCCTAAGCCCTGGGCCCAGCACCAACATGGATATCAGCAGAAATGAACTGAACCAGGCACAAGACAAGATTATGAAGCATCTGCAGAGAGCAGAAGAGGTAAAACACACACAAAAAATGCTGCAAGAGAAACACCTAGAAGAATTATACTTTGTATCAAATCAGTTAACACTAGAATTAGATGATGTCTGCTTTGGATGACAGTTTACATTGAATGTTGGTATGTGTTCATTTCTGGCTAATTAGATGCACTGGGAAGTCCTTCATTAGCTTTTTTTTAAAAAAAATTATTGTCTTTTTTGTAGAAAAACATCTCTACATACTAAATTGTTTGCTGTTATTTCAATGCCATACATTAATTGTTTTCTTTACAGGGTATGAAAGGAGAGTGAGTACCTTAGACACATTCAGGACTGGGACACTTATTGCTTTACCAATATTTATAGCCAATATTTAGATATCTTGATAGTACAACGGGTACCTTAGGTTTCTAAAAGAAGCCAAAGCAATACACAGTTCAGTCAGTGCATCTTTTAACAGATATCCTCTCATTGTGTTCTCCATCACATTGTGTTCGACATAAATCAGGGACTTAGGTTCAAGTGCAGGCTCGACTTTAAGGTTGTTCACATCTGTAGGACTCCATCCTGTAAAAATACTAGTAAATGGCAGTGACCCTTAATAGTACAGTACAGCGAAATACTAAACAGAGTGATTTTATGTAAGTTTATCTTGACTTGTTATTACGTTTTCTCCCATAAAAGCGTAGTTTTACAATTTACAGTTCAAGTAGTTTTCTAACTTTATGCTTAAATTGTACATCAGCTGGTCACAGCACAATGAGAGGGTGCTGTTCTGGTGCTTTAAGGGACAAAATGTATCAAATAATCTACTTAATAATCTGGAGCACCTGAACAACACCTAGATGCTACCAGTGAAAACTAAACAAAACTAAACAAACCGTCATCACAAACAAAGCATTGTTAGTTTACAATTAATAATGAAAATTTTCACAATAATCACTTAAAATCAGCAGGAGAAACATTTGTATACACCTTCTCATTCTCTCTCTCTCTCTCTCTCTCTCTCTCTCTCTCTGTATCCGTCTCTCTCTCATTGGCGGCCCGTTCATTTTGATGCTGTTTCCCTTCTGACTGTGGATTATTACAATTAGGGAAAATGTAATTAGGACCAAAAGTTACAGCCCAAAAAGGCAGGCAGGCTAAGAAACCACACAAACTGCCATGTTCTGTCTATCTGTCGATCAATCTTCTCCTTCAATACAACCACAGCAATCCACACATGCAAATCAGGCATGGCTGTGTGGCGTCAGTGATTGCTATTGTCTCTCCTTTGTTTTCGACAGATTTAAAAGCATTCAAAATAGGAAAACAAGCAATTTAGGAGTAACCCATTTTTAGAGTATATTAGATGATTAGATTAATTTTAAAAATGATGGGAAAACATAGTACCAGTGGCAATAATATTGGCATAATCCATATGTTTGTTCCTTGTATCTTTTTTTTTAGACAATATTGGCAGTACATCTGTCCTCTTACATATAATCTAGTTGGATAAAGGTGTTCCTGATTTTATACAACCCCTACTATGGAATCTTTAAGAGGACTGACAGCATAGAACACTGTGAACACCAGTGTTTATTTGAATAGAAGTAATCTTTACACATGACGATCTCTGATGTTAACACAGATGATGGTGGATGGATGGAAGAAAGAAGCTGATGACCCACTGAATCCTGAAGCTTGGGCTGCTATGCAGAAACTCTCCAATTCAGTAAGTTGCTTTACACCCTGTGCAAAACTGTGCAAAGCCAGGAGCTTCATATATAATTCATACCTCATCTATTCAGACCCAAGCCTCTGGCAGAGAGAGGACATCCTCTACCATATTCACATCTCAGTTGCCTATGGTCAATACCTATGTAAGAAGGTAGCTGTCTGTCCAGGTATTTTTCCAACCTAATTGTAAGAAATGATTTACTGATGTAGTCTTCAGTGCAACGAAAAGACAATAATGCTATTTTCAGTCATGTTTTTGGGATCTGAGGTTTTGAGAGAAGGAGGTTATAGTTGACTGACAGCCAGCTCTTTCTGACTGACAAAAGAGAGAGGAGAGAGATGCCTGTTACCAGGGCAGCTGTTGCCACAGTTACTGCATTTTTCAGTACAGGATCCTTGCTGCCACCTACTGTCTGTGAAGCTTTATTGCTTACAGCTTCCAGGGTCTTTATTTAGTGAACTGCTTACAGGAAAATTTGAAGAGCAAAAATTAAAACCCTACACTACTAACAAAATAAATCTAAGACAGCTCTGAGAATGATAAAGAGTTTGTATCATAAACATATTAGCTTGTTGTCTATTCCACATGCTTCTTGCTCTTGTTAAAATGACTGCTTACCTTTTGGACAGTCACAAGGGGCTGGAACTTGCCCCAGCTGACAGTAGGTGAGAAACAATGTACACCCTGGACAGGTCGCCAGTCAAACACAGCGCTGCAACACCATACATGTTCACCATTCACATTCACATGGTGGGACAAATGACAATCACTAATTAACTTAAGCAACACACAGAGTGGCCTCAGCTGGCAAGTTGAATGAAGCAAACTTTAAAGTAAAAATAAACTTCAAATTGAAAGGAATTGTTGCTTTTTTTTTTTCTAATGTGGTAGTAAACTGAATATTCACAGTATATGATTTGAGGTGTGAGTATGGCATAAAATGTCTGATTACATCATTTGGAAATGTCTTCTTTGACATTTTATAAGTCAAATAATTAATATGTGAATTAATTGACAATTTGCTTGTTAATTGCTGTTCTACCAATGTGGGATAATTGGTCACACTTTCAAGATACTAGCACATTTCTAGAAGATTCAGAAACATGGAGAACACCTAGAAGTAGATCACAGCTCTGTAGTTTATTTGTACATTCTATCATTAATCTTTTGTGTCAGCTGGATATGTACATGGGTGCCTGTTTGCTATCATGTGCACCAACTTGGAAACAGTTTGTTGTCAGAAAAGTCTGTGTAAGTTTCCCGCACCACAGAAACCACCCAGCCCAGCCAGTCACCCAGCCAAATTTGAATGATTCCAAAAATCTGCTTTTTTACACTTTTTGTAAAAAAGTAGGAATGACAAAAAATAAGCAGTAGTCTCTGCTCTGAAATGCTGTGGATGTGTCTGTTGAAGGCACTGATTTACAGCGTTCACAAGAGCCCAAATGAATCGTACTGACAGTGCAAACAGACCTGAGTTTCTTTTAAAAGGACCTAACAGGTTTGATGTAAACTCACAAACCTGCACTTTAGATTCAGAATATTTTCATCACTTCATCACAAGTTAGCTAACATAGTAAACTAAATACATAGGGAAACTCATTGTTTGGCATATGCTACTGACGCTGTCACCACATGTTGGTGGAATGAGAAGTTAAAGACTGGTGAGGAGGAAAATTGGTTTGACCCCGTTCACCAGTAGTAACATAATCCATGAATCCCACATTGTAGCACTACCCATTGTGAGATGGTCCCTGTAGAGGCAGGCGTTGGTGATGATCTTGAGCTCTCTATCAGAAGCGTTCTTGTACTTTTTAAAGGTAGACAGAGTGACAACACCATAAACACAATCAGTGATGAAATTCTGCTTTTTCGTAGGCTGATGAGAAGGCCTTTGACTTCAAACCTGCCTTCATGGCCTCTTTTTTGGATTTCCTGAAGACAGGCAAAAAACAGTCAGACCTTGAAACAGGACATGATGGAAGTGAGCAAGAAGCCCTAAACCCCTGTTCCTCTTTGAAGGGAGGTATCAGGCCCTTATCTCCGCCTCCTCCTTCCCTATCGCCGAGTCCTCCACAGCAGGCTCCGGGAACATTCAGTGAGGGAGGGCAGGGTGACGGGACGGACCTGGCCCTCAGTGGCTGCCCAAGTCCCTGCAAGCCTCTGGATGAGGAGCTGAAAAGGAATTTGGAGACGCTTCCCTCCTTCTCCTCTGATGAGGAGGACTCTGTCAGTAAGAACCAGGACCTGCAGAAGAGCATTTCATCTGCAATTTCAGCCCTCTATGACACCCCACACTCACTGGCTGCTGCAATGGCTTCTGCAATGGTTAAGGCCCAACCCACACAATCCCCACCTACACCACAGGAGCCATCATTCAGCCCCCCTCTCCCTGCCATGCCTCCCCTCATCCCCAGTATGGAAAATAGAAAAGAGGAGGCCCTTACATACTCTCAAAAGCACACACAGGATGAGGAAGAACAGAAATGCTCCCCACAGTCAAACCAAGAAGAAACAGAGGAAAGAAAGTCTGAGCAAGGAGAAGATGAGGAAGAGGATGAGGCTGAGGAGAGGGAAGAGGAGACTGCGAATTATGAAGAAATAATGAGAGAGTCACAGAATCTGCAGCAGGGAACCCTGGAAGAGGACGAGGAGGACAAGGATGAGGAGAGGATGTCAGAAATGCAGATTTTGGAGGTTCCTAAAGTTCAAGGTAATGCATGTGTTTTTTTTCAGTTACCTGAAATGTTAACTAATGATTAGATTGACAAGAAAGTCTTTGCTTCAGGTAAATATAGAAGCTTTTCTCTAAAACTGTCACCTGCATCTTATGCCCTTTAACAAATAGAGTTGTTCAGCTATAACAGCGTTAATTCACTCTAACTGTAACTATGAAACCTCATTCATGTAATAACAAGTGGCTGTTTATGGAAGGAGATTGTAATGTCTGTCTCTTGGTGTCACATGTGAATGTTCTTCCTGATTATCCCTGGATGACCCTTCTCCTTAGTGCTGGTGATTGATAGGAGACAGGAAAAGCATTGTGTTGTAGTTGATGCTCTATAAAGTCCTGGGGCCTGTATTATTAGCAGGATCTGGGGTTAGTGAGGTAACTTCAGGTTAAATCCTGGGTTTTCAGTCCTACGAGGGTGGTTCACTTCTTTCCGGGGTACATCACCATGGTAACTTACACTGAGCGGCTAACCTGCTCCGAAGCAGGTTGTGTTCGAGGTTGAGATCACTGGGTACAAAAGCACCGCCCTCTGAAAATCAGTTCTCTCCCCCGTAAAACTTCAGAAGGAGTAGAAATTGAAGCAGTTCTCAACAAAATGGCATCACCGGCATTTATCGAAGACCCGCTACACATCGAAGCGTGAATTGTGAGAGATCGCTGAGGAGTGTGAGGGTTTTCCAGGACCGGCAAAACAGCACACCCTCACAAGGATCTCTATGAGCTCCTGTCTTTCTTCATTCATTTTTTCCCCTGTTGGCTACAGGCAATGTCAAAGCTATTTCATATATTTTTGTTCTTAATTTGTTCCCACATCCTTTTTACACCAGGGTTGCAGCTGAAAGTAAAAAAAATGTCAGATATGCCACAATTAAGCAGCAAATTAGTTGAAAGGAATCCTCAGATGTGCTCATTGTCTGATACGTGCCTTCATGATGGAACAGTGATCATATTTTTTTATATTATAAACTAATGAACTTATGCATTCACACGGTCGGCAGTTTTCTGCCAGCATTCCTTCCTGGCTTTGGTCGCTTGCTTTTCCTCCTATGATGTTTTTATGTTCTTCTTCATATTTTGTAAAGATTACATTCTGCTCCTCGGTGGTAGAGTAAGCCACTCTGCAGCCAGACTTGTCCATAGTCGTGATTGGTCAGATGCCGATAACGCCGCCCATTTTATAAAGGGATCAATAAAGTTCTGTCTAATCTCATCTCATCTAATCTATGTGCACGCGCTCATACTCAGATCAGACAACCCTGGGTTGACTTACCGCCGTCATAGGACTGGTTATCCTGAGTGCGATTGTTAGGGTTAGTTAAGCCAGATCTCTGAAAGATATCCTGGGTATGTTGATCTTGCTTCGTAGTACAGGCCCCAGGTGACACTTCTGGCCAACGCAGGGAGGAACTGCAATGACTGCATGACAACTCTAACTGTAAAGTCAGGAGAAGGAGTAGAAGATTTTTTTCCCCATATATCAGACTGTTCATTTGGTCCCTCTTGTGACTTCCTGTTTCATACAGAACAAGATACCTTTTACATTCATCCTCCGCCTCTGTTTTTCAGATTCTCCGTCAGGACCTGTGCTTGCTCATGCACCTCCATCCCCATCACCATCCATCTCCCCCTCACCACCCACCTACTCCTCACCCTCGCCGCTTCCTCCCCTGTGTTTTTCTGTACCCTCCCCACTGCCGAGCCAGCAGGATGAGGAAGAAGAGAGTCCAACTTGTCCTCCTTCTGATCAGCAGCAGTCTTCATTCCAACAGACTCCAGCAGCAGGCACTTCCCCACCCCCCTCCACATCCCCTCCGGCAATTCCATCATCACCCCTCTCCAACCTTCCCCTGGGCCAGCCGATCCCCCCTCCATCCACCACACCTCCCCCATCATCTTCTGATCAGGACCAGGAACCTGAAGCTGGACAGCCTTCCCCATCTGCACTCTCCTCTTCCTCCCCCTGTTCATCATCTTCTCAGCCGCCATCACCTCCAACCCCAGAGGAGGCCCCAGCAACCCAGCGTCTCACCTCCCTCCACCTGGCAAAGAAGCAGGCTGATGCTGCCATCGCTGGGGAAAGTGAAGAAGAGGACAGTGAGAGTGGAGGCGAGGGAATCTTTCGTGAACGAGACGAGTTTGTGGTGCGAACTGAGGACATCAGAACTCTTAAGGTTAGATTCCCCCACAACTCCTAAGATGTACATATGGTGAATAAAATGTAGTGTGAGCACATTTTATAAACACGTTGTGTAAACACTGTGTTTGTGTCACTAGATGGCCTTGCAGACAGGCCGGGAGCCCCCACCCATTTGGAGGGTGCAGAAAGCTTTGCTGCAGAAATTCAGCCCAGAGATCAAAGATGGTCAGAGGCAGTTCTGTGCAACCAGTAATGTGAGTTTTCCAGAATACGCATGTTGTTTACCTCAGGAATTCCACATGTTCAGTCAGTACAAACCTAATTTGAGCACACTGTTGGTGTACAGCACTATGGGTTCAAAACAAATCAGACCTGGTACAGTTCAAACCAGGGCCCAAAACCAGTGAGTACTATGTCTGAAATGTGACGTTTCCCTGTATAAGCCTACATAAGTCTGATCAGCCTCACATAGCAGTGGTTGAATTTTCCAAAAATGACTTTCATTGCAATTTGTGACATGAAAAACTGTCTTCCATGATTGTTCCTCACTTGTATCCTCTGTAACATTCATTTTTTTCCCGCTATTGTGCAATTGTGTTTATGAAATTGTAATTCTTAATTTCATTGTCTCCTCCCTCAGTATTTGGGTTACTTTGGTGATGCCAAAATGCGCTACCAGCGTTTATATGTGAAGTTCTTGGAGAACGTCAACAAAAAAGATTACGTTAGAGTGTGTTCCCGAAAGCCATGGCACAGAGCCGGCCTGACTCTGAGGTAAGGCTATGTTTGAATTTCTTGACAAATGTTTCTGCCACTCAAGGAAGGGGCATAGAGATGAGCTGATATGAATTTTAAAGTTACAAGAGGCATATCTACTGTACATCAAAATCAGAGAGAGTTCAGAACCAAATTCAATGAAAAGTTAATTAAAAAATGATCTCTGTCAACAGCTGATCTTAGATTAATTTCAGATAACTATGTAGCCTCCAAGGCCTTAAGAAACAAGAGCCTCATTCCTTCTGTCTCTTTCTTTTGTTTTTTTTGACTTACTGATTGACAGACGCCAGTCACTACCTAAACAGCTTCCCACCATTCACAGTCAGGCCCAACCTCGAATGGAAAGAGATGACAAAGACAAGGAGAGACAGAAAGAGAGAGAGATGAAGGAGCAGAGGGAAAGAGAAAAAGAACAAAAAGAACAAAAAGAGAGGGAGTACAGGGAGAGAGTAGAAAAGGAATATAAGGAAAGAGAGAGGAAAGATGAGAGAGGACAAAAAGAGAAAGAGAAACAGGAAAGGGAGCAAAAAGAGAGGGATGAGAAAGAAAAAGAAAAGGTGGAAAGAGAAAAAGAGGACAAAGAACGAAAGGGGAAAGACCATAGAAGAAAGGAGAAAGAAATGGAATGGGAGAAAAAGAGTGAGAGTGAAAGACGGGAGAAGGAGCAGAGAGAAAGGGAGAAAAGAGAAAAAGAGCAAAAGGACAAGGAGAGAAGGGAATATGAGAGAGAGCAAAAGGAAAGGGAGCTGAAAGAGAGGGATAGAAGGAACAGGGAGCAGAGAGAGAAGGAGAAGCAGGACATGGAGCAGAAAGAAAGGGAGAAACAGGAAAGAGAATGGAAAGAAAGGGAGAAACAGGTAAGGGAGTGGAAAGAAAGGGAAAAACAGGAGATAGAACGAAAAGAAAGGGAGAGACAGGAGAGGGAGTGGAAAGAGAAAGAGCAAAAAGAAAAGGAAATACAGGAGAGAGAGCTGAAAGAAAAGGAAAAACAGGAGTTGGAACAAAGTGAAAAGGAGAGGCAGGAGATAGAGCAAAGAGAGAGAGAGAAGCAAGAAAAGGAGAGAAAAGAAAAGATAGAAAAGGAGAAACAGGACAGGGACCAGAGAGAGAAGCAGAGAGAGCAGAAAGACAGAGAAGAGAAGGAAAGTGAGAAGGAGAGGGATCAGAAAGAAAAGGAGAGAAGAGAGCGGGAGAAAGAGAAGCAACGAGATCAGGAGAAAGAAAAAAGGGAGAGAGCAGAACGGGACAGGAGAGATGACACCATGGAGCTTGCAAGGCTGAAAGAGAAACGAGGAGGAGAGAAGAAGATGGAGTGTCAGTCCAGAGCGAAGACGTCAAAGGACAAGGCTGAGCCTCCCCCCAAGAAGAGAAAGAAGTGGTTGAAGGAGGTGCCATCTTCCTCCTCTGAGTCGGACTCCTCTCCACCAAGTGATGATGAAGGTCAGCTCTTCTTTATATAATAACATTTTAATACAACTATTTAAAATCACCATCAGCCAGTATCTGCTGTGTCCCGACCCACTGTGCAACTTCTTTGTGTTTTAGGGCTCATGCGAGGTGGGGCTAACAACCGAGCTATGAGGGAGATGTTCAGGAGCTATGTGGAGATGCTGGTCAGCACAGCACTTGACCCTGATATGATCCAAGCACTGGAGGACACTGATGGTGAGCACTTAGATGGAGGGGCACAATAAGGCTGATTAGAATCCTAGTTATTCATTTACATGGCAGGGAAATATTTATTCCCTAGGAGATGTAACTGGGAAGATCCTTTTCCTGTAAATCTCTACCTCAGTTATGGTCGCCAGGTTTCTTGTTTGCATGACACAGCTTACTGCATGTAAGTGCACTGATTGGGTGACAAATGAAAGTTACTTGTCGAGATGGTGGAACAACCTTTACACCAGTAAAAGGATGCTCCCAGAGCACCAAACCACTTGGTTGATTTACAAGGTCCATACTGGTGTTGTTCCAAAGCTGACAAATTTCCAAGTTTGCTGTATGAAAATTAACACTACGAAAACGTGTTGTTGCATATTGTTGTACTTACTCCCCCCCAGGGTTAGGGTTTTAGAAAATAATTGCAATCCAAAAAATGTATGATAATAGTAATAATTATTTTTACGACATTAAATTCAAAATTACTATGATCAACAGAGTCAAAAGTCTTGGTCAGATTCAACAGGAAGAGCACAGTGCTGAAAACTTTCAGCTGCTAACAGAAGCTCTGGAGGGAGTGCAGTTGGATGTTTCCCCAAATCTCAACTGAAATTTCTTAAAAAGACCATTGTTGTGCAAACAAAAAGTTCTGCTCTGTTATTTTTTGAATGCAATGATAATTTTAAAATTAGTCAGAATGATTCGTGGAATGGGATGTCTAGCATGGGTTTTCTAAGAAAAGGTTTTGCACTATTGCAGTTTTAAAACCATTAAGCACACTGTCAGAATGTCAGATCTTTGGTGTGTCATCCACCTTAGACTCCCATCACTAATCAGGAGCAGAACACAAAAGCAACAGAGAACATATCCAGCAACATCCAACCAAATTGACAGGGGGATGAGGTGCATAAAAGTCAGGGTTAAGATGATTTACATGGTAATTTTGAAGACTTTCATTCTGTCTTGAAATGCTAAGAACTGAATTGCTAACAAACAACGTAAACAAAAGAGGAGGAGGAGAGCTGGGATCCATGCTAGGCTAAAGTCTAGCCCCTCCAGACCAGCAGGACCGTCCTCCTACTCTCCAATGTCCGCTCCCTCGACAACAAGCTCGACGAGCTACGTTTGCAGAGAGAAACCTGCAGACAGTGGAAAGACTGCTGTGTGTTCTGTGTGTTCGAAACATGGCTCCATGACAACATCCGAGACAGCCATACAGCTGGAGGGGACGACATTATTCAGGGTGGGCAGACAGGCAGCTAACTTTGGGCAGCATCTGCAGCTTCACCATCATCACACTGTTGTGTGTGTCTTTGTGTCCCTGAAGACCTACCAGGACCTGATGAGGTTCGCCATGTGATGGCAGCCCACATGGACACAGCAGCCCCTTCAGGAGATAGCGACAGTGAACGTTTAGTGTCTTATCCCAGACGTGCATTCTGCAAACGTACTAATGAAATGATCGTGAAGAAACATTCTGTCATCTTGCCTGTACTACTCTGTGTATGTACAGCAAAATGACAATAAACTTGATTTGATCTGATTTTGAAACAGAAGAAACTTTGAGAGAGTCTTAGAATAAACCTGATGTGTTTAGGAAGCATGGTTAAAGCCTTGACTTTGTCATCACAGGATATGTATGTAAAACAATGATAGGCCAGACAGTTGAGATGGTGGGTGCGCTGCATTCATCCAGATTTGAATACAATATGAAATATATGATTGTGGGCCACTTTAACTGAAGTGTGTGGTTTGACGGAGAAGATTACATTAATTACATTTCACAATCCATGCAAGCCTTCAGTACAATCTTGAACTTAAGGAAATAAACGCTTAAGGAAGATAAGGTCTTCTGTTAGCTAGATATGTCCCTCTAATATTGTAATGCTCATGACCCTGTACAGGGCAGTCAGATAAGGGATGCTAATGATGCAAAAGATTTGACTTTGTTCGTAATCAGTGATGCTACACTGATGACGCCACAGGGGAAGCTTTTGAGAAAACAAAGAAACTGGATCCAGTAGTGAATACTGTAGCTCTTAGAGTGCAGTGATTTTAAAAGTGACCCCAATGACAATCCCTGATAGGTTACTCATAGAAAATGCGTGATTATTCCATGGTGGACAAGGATAATAAAACAGTGACAAAGACAAAACAGGCATTTTAGGACTGCTGCCTCATGTGAAGGAGGTCAAGCATCTCAAGCTCTTTTTCATGATTAAGGATAGGATGAGGTCTGAGTAAGTCAGATGAAGGCAGCTTGCATTTGGGTATGTTGCATTTTGGGTATTTTTAATGACAGAAACACCTTTTACTATGCCTTGGCTGTGATACCCCAACTGAATTGGTTGGACATAATCTGCAGGTCTCTTGTGACAATTCCAATGATACTGATTAAAATGTAAGATTTAAATGTAAACAAGCATTCTGCTTCTTTTAACTCTTCAGATGAGCTGTACCTTCCACCCATGAGGAAAATTGATAGCCTGCTCAGTGAACAGAAGAAGAGGTTGTTAAGGAGAGTCAACATGAGTGCTCAGCACCAGGCAAGCCTTCACATTCTTCTTGTTTTACTGGCACTTCTCACATCACCTTGTGTTAGATCTGTTGTTGATTTAGAACAAATACCTTCATGTGATGCTGCAGATCACATCTGTGGGTTTCAACCTGTACCTCTCTTTGACTGCATTCTGATTCCCACTGTCCAGGAGGCTTTACATATATTCCCCAAAATGACAGCAGACCCTCTGGAATCAGGAGTTGTCAAAGTTCACCTTGGTGGGGATGGCTACAATCGTAAAACCCTCAACCGGGTGAAGAGGAGTATTCCTAAGCAGCAGGTGAGAAACAGCATTGCACATCACATTCAACAGCATCACACTCAGGTACAGCTGATCTTAACATGGTGCTTCATAAAAAGAGTATCAACATCCCATATCTACAGCCTATGGAAACCTACACTGTAATCAGCTCATGAACTTAAGAACAGAGATTTCACCGTAAGATCAGACTTCAACTGAGAACCTGCAGCTCACCTGTCTGTGTGTCACTGTATATGCCCACAGGCAGTATGGGCACAATTAAATGACTTATCCAAAAATACCTGAGCTCCTGATTTAACTGTGAAAAATGGAAGGGTAGGGATAGGGTTGATCCATTAATATTCATTCTGTGCTAACGTCAAAAATCATACAAAACTAAGCTGTTTCTTCCATAAAAAAAAACAAAACAACAAAATCGATGATATCTTGTAATTATAACTTTTTATCTCATAATTATGACTTTAAAAAATATATTTTTTGACTCTCGGAAACAGGGCAACAATACAATGATGTCCTAAATCAGGGATTCTCAACCTTTCTGCTCCCAAGGCCCCCCTGTGTCCATTGTTATGATTGAGTTTGGCAGTTAGTTTATACAAATGAAGCACTACAGATTGACTATTTGTTTAGTTAGATAGTTTCTTTCGTTATTTTGTCATGAGAATATTTTTCCGTATTTTTCTTAATAACATTCACAGCCATCTCAAGGCTCCCTGGCTGCTCTCTGTGGCCCTCTAGTGGGCTGTGGCCCCCCTGTTGAAAACCACTGTCCTAAATCCCACTGGTGGAGGCCTTTTTATAATAAAGTTATTCGCACTAAAGATCACAATACTAAGTTTAACAATGTGGCAGTGCTGACAGTGGGCAGAACAGAACAGAAAGCTGGCAAATCCCTCGGTCAGGTATCCTCTGTATTCCAGTCTGTCACGCCTAGAGTTAGAATAGACCATTTTCAGCAGAAATTTACAAAGCTGACAACTCAGTATAGGCCTTACTTGGAATGACAATATTGGTTGGGACACTTCAGGAGTTGGGACACTTAATGAGTGCCCTGATGGCTGACTGTATGGCCTGTAGGCTGTTGGAGTCAGCTGGTGACATGAAGCTTGGTGCTCCATCTTAGCTTCCAGTAGGCCATGAACAGTGGAATATTGAGCATTCTGGCAAGTGAGACCTTTGACCAGGTCTTGCAGGTAGATGCAGTGTGTGACAAACCCAGCACATTCTTGAGGTAGCGTTGGACAGCAGCATGTGATGGGGTGAGCTGAATGTAATGGCATGAGGCTGCTACTGAGGTTAGGAGAGAGATAGGATCTTGTCCGCCTATGCCTATTTGTAGCAAAGGCTTAAAATTTTACATCAGGACTTTTTACCACTCCATCTCCACTACTCAATCTTCAGTTCAGTCCAGGTTGACAAGGAAATAAGGGCAAGTTCCCAGTGATAAGAGGGCAGAGAGGGAGAGAACAGTGAAGAAAGGATGTCCAGACAGTTATTGTTTGAAATTGAAGGTGCAACCATCACAAGAGCTTGGGCTCCATCTATATGGGCACACCTGTATGACCAGAAGTTCTTGTACTCTAATTTGGCCATATCATGTGTGTTGTTCTAGATGCCACTATAAGAGTAGGTTTCCCACAACCCTCCTTATTTACGAAACTCTACCTTATTTATTAAATCATCACATATAACAGGCCTGGAAATAGAAAATACACTGACAGTAATCACATATATGTAATATATGTCTAGCATACACTTTAAATATCAACCTAAAGACCAAATCCTAGTAAAGTGAAAATGCAGAAACACTGTGATATATTAAGTTACATTTACAGCAGAAATTGGATTTCAGCTACTTCAGACTTAGTTTGAGCAGAGGGAACAGCCTTGTATACTACATGATTTTAGAGGCCTGGAACCAAGAAATACAACCCAGACTCCAAATGGAAAATGATCAGAAAAAGAGGATTGTGTGTGTTTTAACAGACCTTGTCTTGTTTCACACATCAAAATTCAGGGTCACACCAGGTCACTCTCAAGCTATGATGACGGTGGCAGAGAAGAAGTCAGAGCTCTGGTATAGGTAGAACAGGGCCAGTCAGGATATATTTACTACATGGTTGACATCTCCACTGTATGGTTTTCAGAAAAGGGAGGAAAGAAAAACTTTTCTGTATAATAATTGAACAAACTAAAGTTAAAGTGTAAAGAAACACCACAGCTGTGGCTCAGGTGGTAGAATGGGTTGTTCACTATTTGCCTCTCCCATACCAAAGTGGCCATCGGCAAGACACTGAACCTGAAGTTGCTCCTGGTGGCTGGCAAACACGTTGCATGGCAGCTCTGTCACCACTCGTGTGAATGTGTGTGTCTAAATAGGGGAGTTTAAAATACATTGTAAAGTGCTTTAAGTGCTGCCAAGGTAGAAAAGCGATATATAGGCTCAGAACTCTAGCATTCATAATGGTTTTTAGTTGTTTATTATTAATGTTACTTCATAATATTCTTCAGAATATCTTATCAGTTTCCTTTTGTATTGCTTTGATCATTAGTAGTGTTTTTTCATATTGTGGGGAAATCACTACGGAGGTAAAAACTCTTGAAAGACAAAGACGTTGGTAAATCCCTGTCTTTTTCTCTCATCCTTTTCAGGATATGAAGCTTTCTATTGAAACTTGTCGGATATATAGTCTGTATCATTCCCTTCACCACTACAAGTATCACACCTTTCTGCATTGCAAGAAGGAGGTAAGAATGGCCGCATTGATATAGAAATATATTTTAGATTAATATAAACACATATTTTATTTATTTTACGTATTTTAATATTTTGTTTTAATTAAACTTGCATATTTACCATGTTTAAACTCTGTCTGTGTCATGCTTGCCAAGTGTTTATCAGGTCATTGGATCATACCACTTTGTGATGGTATTTTACTCTGCTAGACTGCAAAACACCCCAAATGTTAAGGCCTGGCATTCAGTAATTAAATATCACCTCTCCCAGTCAAGTAGGACATCCTGAGGCGCTCTGCTATCTGTCGGAGCTTTGTTGGTGCTGGAGAGCTACAAGATATGGAAGGATTCTGACTGCATCCGTCCTACATATCTTTTAATTAAATTCAATTAAATTCAATTTTATTTGTATAGCGCAGTTTATAACATATGCCATCACATAGCACTTAACATAGGAAGGTATAGACCCACCCTCCCCCACCCCCCCTCCCCAGAGGAGGGGGGAAAAAGACCTCCGGCAGAACCAGGCTCAGGGAGGACAGCCATCTGCCTCGACTGGTTGGGTGAGAGTGGGCATGAGGGGTGAGGAAAACAGGATAGCAGTAGGAAAGCAAGCAATAGAACGGAACAATAACTATGAAGTATTTTGGGGGTCGGTGAGGCCAGCGGCTGCAGGTCAGGAACGTAAAGCTCCGGATCCAGAGATGTCCGCAGAGAGAATGTAATGGTGGTTATAACTGTATGGAAGGAAGAGAGAGGAGAGGAAAGGAGCTCAGAACATCATGGCAATCCTCTGGCAGTCTAAAGCCTAAAGCAGCATAACTAAGGGACAGTTCAGGTGATCCTGAGCAACCTTAAATAAGCTTTATCAAGGAGGAAAGTTTTAAGCCTAATCTTAAAAGTAGAGAGGGTGTGTGCCTCCCGAATCCAAACTGGGAGCTGATTCCACAAGAGAGGAGCCTAATAACTGAAGGCTGTGCCTCCTTTTCTACTTTTTTTTAGAAGTTGACTTCAAACTGAACATGTGTACTGTGATGATTATGACATACCACTTAATCAGACTGATGATCCTGTTAAATCCATTTTGACACAGCAACAAGGGCCTCCAGCAGTAGCATCGGACCCTAACAGACCTGATGACGTTTAGTGGATGTAATTGTAATAGCATTACCAGTAATAGCAATATGGCCTGAGGAAGAAGTGCTTCAGTCCCAAAGGAACAGGCTCCCGACTCAAGTATTAGGAGGTGTCTGAGTAAGTTCATTCACAAACTATGATGTCACCTGCATTGGCAGGGTCGAACCTTCCTCTGCCCTTGTCTCAGGAGCTGTCTCACTTCTGTGGTATAAGTTCCTGCATTGTGTATATGGCCTCTTACCTGTGACAGACTAGCAACCTCCCACAGGCCTCTTTGTTTAGTTGTATTACAGCCATTGTACTCAGTGTACCAAACTGTGTTCCTTCCTCACCAGACGGATAATATTGAGCAAGCAGCAGAGGACCCTGGCCAGGAGGAGGTGGTGCAGCAGTGCATGGCGAACCAAGGCTGGCTGGAGAGCCTCTTTAACTCCTTCATGGAACTGCTCGCCCTCAGTGCCAAAGCCTGAAGAAGGACTACAGCCCCTGCCACACTCACATATCCACCTACAGCATTAAGTAGATGGAGGTATCCAGATTGGTGAAACAAAAGAACCACGCTAAAGAAACTCTATGGATGCTAGTGGTGCAATGGTTCCACTGAGAACAGCCACTGCTGGTTTGTTTTTGGAAGGTTTAACTTTTAAAGTATTTGTTTCATTGTTGAATCCATCTTAAAGTACCTCTTGATTTCAAGAATTGTATTGAAAGATGGAGGATTGTGAACTATGTGAATGAAATGGATTTTCCCCAAAAGTCAAAGTAAGGTGATTTGGTCAGCACTATGAAAGATTTTCGTCAAGAACTACAGAATATTGACACACATACGCAAGCTGTCTGTGAGTATGTATTGATAACTATGGTTTGTATAATTTATACAAGGACATTTTTAAATATGATCCTGAAATGGCATTGCTTGCTGTTATTATTTTTGAAAAAATGTTTTAAAGGGGTATACATTAAATGGCCCACCTGTATTTATTACTTCTGTTGGACCAGCAGAGGTGAAACTATGGATGAGTGAGATAAAAGTTAGGTTTAAAAGGACTATGTAATAGTCCCTTGGTTCTACCTGCCTCAGTAAAGAAGTTGAGCTAAGATGAAATGTATTTTAAACTAAACCTTGTTCTTTTTGTTTGTTCCTCAAAAGACAATGAGAGAGGGTTTAATGCCCTTAATGAAGAGGCACGGAAAATAAAGCACGACTTTCTTAAAGGAAGTGTGAGGTGAAATGATCCAAAAGCATAAATGTCAGTGTTCAATGTCATTTTTATCTGTTTGTTGTTGATTAATATTTCCTATCATTTGATCTCTCTGTGGATATTCATGCAGAGCAATTTTGTTGTTTTGATGTGTAAATATTGTACAGCTTCTTCATTCTCTAGTTCCCAGTTGCTCTTCTGTACATGAAATACCTGTATTTGACATAATGAAGTAAAACTGTTCAAATGACATATGTGATGATGAACAGCCTTGTGCTCAAGTTATTTCACGAATGTCGGAGCAATACAATGAGAGATGGGTATTTAGGTGATACAGAGGCCCGAAGATCAACAAGGTCGCAGGGTTAAGCCTTTCAGTTTCTTTTCTATGAACTATTTCTTTGTTGAGAGGTGTAAAAAGGGAACACACACACACACACACACACATATATATATATATATATCAAGGATATCCTAAATGGGATTATTATGTCTTCCTCTCAATATTTTTTTTAATGTCCCAAGCAGGAATCATTTAAAGGAAATCCTTAACAAAATAAAATCTAAGTCATAGCATAGTATAGCAGAGAGCATACATGACATAATGTGTCATATTACTTGCAAATGTGAAACATGCTTAATATCTGTTCAATTGCATGTTTTTACAAGAGAATAGTAAAAAGAAACACTGCATACTTAGTCTCAGAAAATGTAAAAAATGTTGATTATTTTGGCTTTGGACTCTTAATATCAAACTGTGTAACCAGAGCAGACATTAGATTTCCTTTTCTGTCAACCACTAATAACCACAGTCACTTCTGTACTGATCGCGATCTGACCAGGATGTTTTCTCACCTTTTGCCAGAGTATTGTTGGGGCATTCTCCAACTCAGCTCAACCACATCATTTGCTTCAGGTGAAGAGGGCAGAGGGCAGAGTGCAGTGCAGGTGGGCAGAGTAATTCCATGGAGGGAGGGGATGTGCAGAGGGAGAAGAGAAGTAGGATTACCCAGCCATGTTTTCATCACAGAGAAGAAGGAGAAGCTGTCAGAAGGTGTGTGTGGCCATTTCTCATTATGACAACAGCAGGTGAGTGCAGGAAGTCCTGGTCACTGCATTGTCAGTCTGTTTGTGTTGTAAAAAACTGTTGAAACTATTAGTGTCAGTTAAGTAACTAAACTGAAACAACCGCATTTTATGACAATGTCATTGACTTAATTATGTCTGGCATTTCATTTAAAAATAATCCTGTTGTGGTAAGTTTCTATCCAAATAGACACTCTGAAGTTAATTCAGAACATGTAATTTTACATCTTTTTTCTTTCTTTCATACACATAGCATTTAGTTTCTGGGCTTCGGTGCCAGATGTGGAACAGATCATTGAGAGCATTGCCCAAGAGGCTAGGACACTGTCCAGCTCCCACCGGACAGTTATAACGCTCAGGTCACTAGTAGTGACACTGTAAATTTGTATTTTTGCTACCATGGAAACAGCATGCATGACAAAGGAATAATGGATTTAATTAGCTGAATTAATTGGTTTGGGAAAAAAAATGCAAAAGAATTGGGCACATTGCATGCTTTTCTCCACTGATGTGATGTATTGTCTTCATATTTCCCTGTTAAATATGTTCAGTGATTTTAGTGCTCCTTTGTTTTCTCTCTCTCTCTCTTTTTTATTGTCCATGTGAGCAGATGCGAACTTCAAGCTTAAAGGTGCCGTTTCTGGAGTAAGGCCTTCCTTCTTGCATGGCAACATTTCAGCTTACGATGTAAAAACGCACTTGACTGTGGACACTAACATCTGTGTTCTAGCAACTTCTAATTCATTGTAAATCTGGTTTTTGGTGATTCTTGGTTGATGCTTGACCATCCTGACCAATTGTCTCTCAGCAGCAACTGATCGTTTGTGTTTTCTACCTGATTGTGGCAGTGAGAGTGAGTGTGTAGTGAGAACGAGTACTTTATACAGATGATTTTGGAATCTGTAGCTGCTTTGAAATGGCTCCAAGTGACTTTCCTGAGTTCATGAAGTCAGTGATTTGCTTTTTCCAGATGTGTGCTGAGCTCCTCAGACTTCACCATTGCAGTGTTTGTGGTGCAATTTAACAAGCGTATCAAATGGGCCCTGTTTAATTTGGCTCAGAGGAGTCAGCAGCTGTAGTCAACCGTAATTGTTTATGAGAAGTTAGGAGGCTATGGCACTAAGAAATATGATAAACACAGCTTTCTACTAAAATGGATAATTGGCTGTATGTATATTTTTGCCCCAAAAGATGAATCTATGCAATAACCAAAAAGCCCAATTGTTTTTTGTGACACAGGTGCCTGGGCTTCAATGAACTTTTGTTCATAACTGTATGTAAATTAACGCACATTTGTTCAAAGGTGTAAATAAAACATGACATGTCAGTACAATTTAGTAGCAGCCACAGAAAAGTACATTTCAAAGTCAGATTCTACATTGGGATGTGACTTGCAGTCAATCATACAATATTTAATATTAATGTTAGCTACTTTACACAAAGCTATTGCCAGTTTTCATTCATACAAAAGTTTTTCATTTACATTTAAATGAATGATTACTTTGTGCATAGACAGTGAAATAATATCAAAGACTGCAGGTACTGCTCAAACCAGGATGGTCATTACCAAGCAGTTTTGGTTTGCAGGGATGACAAACAGACTCCTCAGGAAAAATAAGCCAAGTTACTGTAGAGGCAACAGTTCAGAACGGTGTTTCGTTCTTGAATGTACAGTGACATAAACAACAAGAAGACAAAATGCTGAGCTGTCAAGTTAGAATCTCAGAACAAACCTACATTTTGTTTTTGACAGACAATACAAAGGAGGGGATGCAAACACAGAGGAAAGAAAAAGACAAATCCATTAACTGTGAAAGGCTTGGAGTACTTAGGAAAGAGCTGTTCAAAACAATTACATTGCAGCAAATGATACTGATTTGATGAAAACGACAAGCATAGTGAAATGACATGGTGAGAAGGATGCTGCCGATGATGCACACATACAAGACTAATAGTTAAAGAAACTGAAGGGAAATAATATAATATTAATATGAGTAATAAAAGAAGAACAACAGCCATATAATCAATGTTACAATAGAGGAGGACAAGAGAGACAGAAGTGGTAATCATAAGAAGGTTTTTTTTTGTTTTTTTTTTAATGAAATGGAGATGTGATCCTCTGTATTCATGTAAGTTAATAAGTTTATGTGTAGAACAAATTAGCTTAAACATGAGGTAAACATCAAATTCAGGTAAAGCTGAGGGTCTTACACCAATTGTTCTGCAGGTTCCTGCAAGAATAAATGATCTGAGTCAAGCAGGTGAAATGTCTCTGTACAGTTATGTACATAAACACATATTTCTTGCATTTTCATGGGAAAAAAATCAAAGAACAATCCTGTGTAATCAAGTAAACTGTTGCAATGATGAAATTTCAGTTGGCAATTAAGTGTCACATAAATATTTGCCATTAATGATTTATGTGATGCCTCTATTAATCTTAGATTAGCTGTATTATTGCCTTTTTACCGCAAATCCAACAAATTGTTATTATGCTCTTATTTTGGCAAGTAAATCCATGATGTTAGGGTCAATAGATGTTTATCAAAATGCAGTTGGTCAGATATTTGACGCACATGTCCATCCATCCATTATCTATATATCGCTTAATCCTCACTAGGTTCACTGGGGGGCTGGAGCCTATCCCAGCTGACTTAGGGCGAAGGCAGGGGACACCCTGGACAGGTCGCAACAACACTGAGCCAACAGCCAGCCTTTTCAGCATTGACCTTCTGTGGTTCGTCTTCTGGACAACTTTCAAGTCGGCAGTCTTATTAGTTCACTAAAACTCAATATGAAATATTCTAATAATTTGAGATACAGGATTTTAAATTTTCACAAGCTATGAGCCACAATCTTCAAAATTCATACAACAATCGCAAGCATTTCATGTGGAATTTATGAGTGTTTATCTTTTGGAATTAATTAAAAAAAAAAAAAAAAAACTACAAAAAACCAAAGTTTTTCATGATATTCACATTTTTTGAGCTGTACCTTCAAGCTACCTGTCCAGCACCAGGCGACAGACAGACCAAGGATCAAGGACCTCAACATGGAGTCAACATGGAACATTCAGAAGTCAGCAACCAGATGTTTTGTGAGAAGTCTATCTACTTAGTCAAATGCATCATATCTTGATTTTCTCTGTTGTCATCATTGTGAGGTTTTCTTCAGTGAGTGTCTTATAATCATTGGCTATTGTATTTAGCAGTTTGACAGAAATAGTGTTTTCCTTCTATGTATTCTGCTTGTTAACAGAACGGGACCTTTGCGACTTTCCTCCTGGCAGGACACAGAGAATGGTTTCCCTGGAAACGAGGCAGAGACAATGGACAATACTTAAGCCAAGTGGGAGGATGCTCTAAACTACTTCAACAAGCTTGATGTAAGTGTTTTGTTTTTCTTAATCTGCATTATTTTACACGTGTCCTATTTTTTTCTGGTGGCCTCTTTCAAATTCCAAATAAAATGTTCTAACATGATGTGTATTATTAGCTCTGCAGACACCTGATTTGTATGCTTTGGCAGGAAAATGTGCCCCTCTAGTGGAGGTGGTTTTTAATTACAAGTCAGTGTAAAATTGTGTAGTCCTTAGTCCTTAACAGCTAAAGACTACTATTAAGGACACTTTAATGATCATAAGTGCTTCAGCAAGCCTCAGGGATATGATGTACTGTCAGATCTCTTGTGGGTTTAGATGTTTTGACATGGTATTTTTCAAACAAATGCTTTTTTAATAAGCTATTTTCTCTCTTAACGAGTGCTGTGTGCCATGTTGGATGTAATTTGGGACGATAGGGAGTGATGTTATATATGACACATGATGCTGCATGTGTCAGTAATTATACTGCTGTGCTGTTCTGAAGAAAATTGTATTTTGAGACTAGGTGGTGGTGCTGTCTTTAAACCTGTGTTGTTTGGGTCAAAGACACAGGATCACTCACTCAGAAACTGCACACCTGGTTTAGCCTGAAGCTGGTTGCTGTGTCCTGTAGAAATCATTTCAACTCCTATAGAGCATAAACAAAACTGTTGTAGATGTAGTTTAAGTTTATAAAGTTCAGCACAAGCTACAGTTCAGATCATTTTCTAAAATGTCAAATCTTAAAACAAATCTTCTATTTTGGAGGCAGTGCTATAAAAAAAAAGGCAAAATTATATAATTGTGTCACATCCTCTT